GCTGCTACGACCGTGATAGTGGCCATGATAGGCAGTGGCAGTCAGTTGGAAGCTGTAGCGCAGGCGGCGGCAGCAGCTTAGGTGGTAGTAGCAGCGCAGCGGCAGCTGCAGCACAGCAGTGAGCCTAGGGGCAGGGCTGCGCGCGGGCCTAAGGGCGAGCGGCGCACGGGCCTAAGGGCAAGGCGGCACGCGGGCCTAAGTGCAGGGCGGCGCGCGGGCCTAAGGGTAGGGCAGCGCAGCTCGCGGGCTGCAGGGCAGGGCAGCGCGCAGGCCTAAGGGCAGGGCGGGCTGCAGGGGCGAGCGCGGGCTGCAGGGTCGAGCGCGGGCTGCAGGGGCGAGCGCGGTTGCAGGGGCGAGCGCGGGCTGTAGGGGCGACCACGGCTGCAGGGGCGAGCGCGAGTTGCAGGGGCTAGTGCGAGCTGCAGGGGCAAGCACGGTTGTAGGGGCGAGCGCGGGCCGCAGAGGCGAGCGTGGCTGCAAGGGCGAGCGCGACTGCTGGGGCGAGTGCTGGCTGCAGAGGCGAGGGCGACTGCAAGGACGAGCGCGGCTGCAGGAGAGAGCGCGGGCTGCCGAGGCGAGCGCGGGAAGCAGGGGCGAGCGCGGGCTACAGGGGAGAGCGCAGGCTGCAGGGGCGAGTGCGGCTGCAGGGGCGAGCGCGGGCTGCAGGGGCGAGCGCGGGCTGCAGGGGCAAGCGCAGCTGCAGGGGCGAGCACGGGCAGCAGGGGCGAGCGCCGGCTGCAGGGGCGAGCGCGGCTGCAAGGGCGAGCGCGGGCTGCAGGAGCGCGCTTAACAGCAGCAGCACCAGCAGCGCGTAGCAGCTGCAGTGCGCTTAGCAGCAGCGCTCGGGCAGGGCGCAGGCAGGGTGCGCGGGGGGGAGTGCACGGGGTGCGTGTGGCGTGCGCGCGTGCAGGGCGTAGGCCGGGCGCAGGCAGCTGACGGGCAGCGCGAGCGGCGCGCTGGGCAGCAGGTGCGCGGGCAGGGGGGTGCCCGTCAGTGCACAGCAGCGCGCGGGCAAGGGGTTGTGCGTCAGTGCACAGCAGCGCGCGGGCAGGGGGGTTAGCGACAGCGCGAAAAAAAATGGATAGCGCGCTGGCGGTAGCGCAGAACAGCGCGCTTCGGGCAGGACAGAACGGTGGGCCCTAACAGGTGTCGTAACCTAATTTGATAGCATGTTAAACTAGCCTTAGTAACTTAGGTCTAGGAAGCTAGGCTTAGTGTCGAGAGTAACATGACGAGGGAAATTGAGAAGGGATGGGTGAACTAGGAATGAGGGGGAACAAATGTGTAACCCTAGAGCCCCACTACAGCCTAGAACAAACATATAATGTTTCACAGGGACAAGCCTTGGCGGCTCTAGTACCGTACTATCGTAGCCTAGTTGTTCTATGAGCTATAACAATCCACCTGATTGTGAGAATACGAAATATTATATAATTACATGCATTGCTAGTAAGCTAGTATTATCATACTTTTTCGTTTGGTGGTATACCTCCCTTGACCACCTCCCCTTTCCTATATCTTGTACCCTCCTTGTTACTGCAACCCCTCTTTGGCCAACTCTCTCTTAACCCAAACCCTAGGTTACTAAGTTACTATCTTGACATGGTTTAAGTGCTACTACAGTCTTAGGACCTACTTCTTTTCAAGGAACATGGGCCCGCCCATGCTGCAGCGCGAAATGCGCTACTTTATTTTCGTCACCGATCGCGTCCGAGGCGCCTACCCGTCCCGTCCCGTCATGCCCGTCGCGCTCTGCCCGGTCGCACCCGAAGCGCATGCCCATCCCGTTCCGTCGTCTCACTGCGCTCTGCCCGTCATGCCCATCACGTCCCCCGCTCGTCGTGCCCGTCACGCACGTCGCCCAGCGTCGGCGACTGCCGTCAGCGCCAGCACGGAGCGCAAGCGCCAGCGCCATCGCCAACGCCTGCGCCCAGCGCCAGCGCCGGCAGCAGCTAACGCTGCCCTCCCCCCCCCCCTCCTTCCTTTCCGCTGCTTCCGGGGTGGGGGGGGGGGGGGGGAGGGAGATGTGGGGGTGGCGGGTGTGAACCGCCAGTGACCCGTCCCTCCCTTCCCTCTTCCTCTCTTCCTGCAACACTAGTTGCTGTAAGGGGGGGGGGGGAGGAGAGAGGTTAAGGGGGGATGAAAGAGAGAGAGAGAGAGAGAGAGAGAGAGAGAGAGAGAGAGAGAGAGAGAGAGAGAGAGAGAGAGAGAGAGAGAGAGATTTGCATTTACTGCTTTCCTTGTCTATTCTCGATCCGTCGTATCTGGCGCCGTCGTTCCTCGTTGCGCACACCAGCAGGTGAGCATTCCACCATACCCGGCGGTGAGAGCAGCTATCAGCGATGTGACGTCAGTGCTTCGAAATGAGCCCCTACACTAGCCAGGCTAGCATGCAATTAAGGGGGGATCTCAAAATATGAAATTCTTATATAATTACATGCATAGCTAATAGTGTAGTGTCATCATATCTTTTCGATAGGTGGTATACCTCCATTGACCACCTCCCCTTTCCTACATCTTGTACCTTCCTTGTTATTGCAACCCCTCTTTGGCCAACTCTCTCTTGAGTTACTAAGTTACTATCTTGACACTGATATACTAGCTCATCCCTCTCCTCAGATTATGTTAATTCCAGCCCGCCTTTAATATCTCTTTCAATTGATTTCTAACGGATGAAACAAACTTGGAAGGATATGTTTATCTAGATGAGCCCACAGTACAGTCGATATTCAGCTTATATTTTTTTTGGCTAAATGAAATCAGAAATTTACTCATTAGCGATCCTTTTTTTTCTTGCGAATTGCTAAACTGAGCATCGTGCTAAGCTCAAGGTACAGTAACCCGCGATCATGTTTTTTTCTCGCGAATTGCTAAACTGAGCATTGTGCTAAGTTCGAGGTACAGTAACCAAGTTGCGGAAGCCATCATACACATTTGATAAACAGCAAGGGTTGTCTGCTGCATACGTTACCGCATACGTAACCATAAATGTTTACCTGGGTACAGAACTTCAACATTCACATTCCACTGTCACTTTACAATCACAATTTTGCGTGTGGCGACAAGGGCTAATATGAGAGAACTGCCAGAACTCGTTTCACGCACTTGTCGCCAGGGTATCTGTTGTTTTAGTAATGAAGTTTGACTGTACCGCGAAATCAAACCCACATGGATGCACGTGAACCCAAAGCTCGGTTTCAACAGATTGGACCAGGCAGCAAGTTGTTACAGTCGCCAAATGCTTCTGGCGGTTGCATTAGTGGGAAAACAAAAAACATTCCACATCGACCAATTATGGTCGGTGAGGTACCGCCTGTTTTCTGGAGGTTCTGTGCATGTAAGAACGTTTAAGTACGGTGGTAAACTAAGCGGACATTTGCGGAATCGACGGCGTCAGGTCGTCATTTGACCAAACTCCAAGGCTTGATTGATTGGCGCAAATGATGCCCTGATGTGAACATTTTTTTGACCGATCTCGTCAGCAACCCAGATTCCCAAGGCGAGAGGGCCTATTTTCTCGGCACAGGTAGGCTCGGGGTTGTGACGTGCTGAGACGAGAGATCGCATGACGAGTGGGGTGAAATGATATCGAGGGGGTGGGTTGGTATGGAACCTCTGCTGTAGGTTCTTTGCGTTCTAACTGGGTGCTCCGTTGTTCAAAACGGCTGAAAAGAAAATCGTTTTCAAATTTACATATTCCGAGGCATAAGAAAATGAACCAGCAGTGCCGATCAGAGAAACTCAAGTACCGCTTGATACAATGAACGTACAAATGAATCGAGCCGTTTCGGCTTGCTCAACAATCATTGCTGTAATTGAACACAGAGTGGGTCGCAGCGGCATCTCCTCTTCAATCCCCTCTCCCACCCTCCCTCCAACTACCACCACTTCCTAGGTTCTGCTCTGCATTTCTCGTAAAACTCCCATCTAATGTGCGATTCCCGAAGAGGCACCAAGAGTTCATTCGCTATCCACTGTATTGAAGTAAAGAGTAATCCTCCAAGACCGCAGAAATTTAAACGCCAGTTTCAAAGGCTTCCTTACGTCCTCTTACCCCGTTCGTGACCCTCGTTTCCATATTTTAGGGTTTCGTCGCCTCGTATTTATCGATGTTCTGTTCCTAAATGCTTGTGCCGTTGTGATACCTCCACCATGGAGAGAGGGGTGGAGGTCCAACAACCAAACATCTCAGAAGCCAATCAATCTCAGAAAAAAATCATACATGCGACGCAAGAAAACGGTCTTGCGCCGAAAAGTGTCGTCGATGACGTGGAAGGCCCATTGGCTCCGGAAGATCCGGACAAGCCGGCAGGCGGAAACATAGAGCCGGATGAGAGCGAGCCTCAGGAAGAGCAGGAGCTTGTAGGTTATATCGGAGCGGCTAATGGCGCGGGGATTCTGGCGGAATACGGGAGGGATGCTGACGCTATCCGCGATGCATTGCCGAAGGCTCTCGAGAACTTGCCACATCATTTCGCCCAATATTCCATGGTAAGTCCATGAGTTTAGCGAGTAGACGTTATAATTTATTCTTGAAATTTATCTTGTGAATGTATCCTCATGAAGCATAGGAGACGAATAAAATACTAGCATTCGGAACCACCAAGGACCATACCACGAATCGTCTTTTAGCTAATTGTTTTCCGAGTATAATGTTCAAGAAAGCATATCGGAAATGGATTCCGTCTGACGATTTAGCTCCGTCTGAAGTATAAGTTGTTTAGTTAAATGTGATGCTCGTCATATCTTTCGTCTCTAGTTCGTCGTTCCTCTCGTTGCTCTTGTAGCTCCGTTATCCCTTATTGTAGAATAAAAGCTGGTCGTTTTTTTTTTTTTTTTCCTTATGGTGAGTGCTTTTTTAAGATGTTTGAAAAAAAAGAGAAGGAAAAGCGAGAGCAGGAAGTTGTGGAGGAGGGAAGATGGTGTCTTTTTTTAGGGGGGGGGTAGAGAGATGGGAAGGGGGGACGAGGAGAAGGTACATGGGATGTTTGTCTTGTTCCATGGCACCAAAGAAACTCCAAAAACCAGGCATTCTCCGCGTGCCGCTGAGCTACTATCCGCTCTCTAAGGCCCATGCGCTCGTTCTCCCATTCTCTCTCCTCTCCCCACTCCCCCTTATCCCCTTTCCCCCCTCCCCCTCCCTTTCCCTTATATCTTCCCACCTGATCCTCAGGGATACGGTCGGGTATTTGTCTTGTTTGAGAGGCACAGTCCGGGGTTGGTCCTCGTGCTGCTGGGCCTCAACCCGCTCTCCAATGCCCACGCTCTCCTCCCTTCCTTCTACCCTCTCCTTCCCGTCCCTCGTCTCACCTCTCAGGGATATGGTCGGATATTCGTCCTGTTTGAAAGGCACAATCCGGGGTTGATCCTCGTGCTGCTGGGATACAACCCGCTCTCCAAGACCCACGCCCGCGACCTTCTAAACAGCTTCTCCCAGGCGCTCGCTACTGTCACAGGGGTTACAATCACACCCCACTCCTCCGCTAAGGCTCTGAGCGGCCAGGGAGGATGGGAGGGGCGGGTGACGGAAGAGGGGCGGGTGATGCTGGGGGAGGCGCTTGCTGGGCTGGCGAGTGGGGTCCGAGGCGTGGTGGGATCGTCCATGGCGTGTGTAAAAAGGTGCGTGCGTTTTGGTGTGAAGAGGTGTGGAGAGAGGTGTGTTGCGGTGTGTGGGAAGGGTGAGTGACGGAGGAGGGGCGGGTGATGCTGGGGGAGGCGCTTGCTGGGCTGGCGAGTGGGGTTCGAGGCGTGGTGGGATCGTCCATGGCTTGTGTGAAGAGGTGCGTTGCGGTGTGAAGAGGTGCATTGTGGTGTAAAGCGGTATAGTAACGAGGTGAGCGAATGGGGAGGGGCGGGTGACGGAGGAGGGCGGGTGATGCTGGGGGAGGCGCTTGCTGGGCTGATGAGTGGAGTTCGAGGCGTGGTGGGATCGTCCTTGACTTGCGTGAAGAGGTGCGTGACGTTGTGAAGAGGTGAGGTGGGGTGTGGGGAGGTGCGGGGGGTGTGGAGAGGTGCGATGGGGTGTGGAGAGAGGTGCGTTGGGGTGTGACGAAGTGCGTTGGGAAGGTCATAGCGCTGGCATAGCAGGCGTGTTGGAGTCATCTATACCGTGTGTATGAATCAATGTTGCTGTGTGCCATTGGCAAAATAATAAGTGAAGCATTTTCTGGTTTACCTTGTAAGGGAACCCGGGGTAAACCCACCCACGCATGCATACCCGTTTTTTAGTCGATTCAATAAGAGCATTGTGTCTCTCTTTCTCCTGTCTGATGCATTTCTCAACCCCACAGGTCCCCTGAGTGGGCCCCAGGCTTATCTTGTGAATCCCGATGGTGGCTTCGCGATTTCTTTCGATGATGACAATGAGGAGGAGGAGGAGACGGAGGAGGAGAGGAAGGAGAGGAGGAAGAAGGAATGCTGTGTTCTCATTCGTTCCCCTTTGTTCTCATTCGTTCCCCTTTGTTCTCATTCGTTCCCCTTTGTTCTCATTCGTTCCCCTTTCTGATACCCTTGTCAACTCAACCCATAGGTACCCCGATGGGCCACAGGCATACCTTGTTTATCCTGACGGTGACTGCTCGATCCCCTTGGATGATGACGATGAGGAGGAGACGGAGGAGACGGAGGAGATGGAGGAGACGGAGGAGACGGAGGAGACGGAGGAGACGGAGGAGGAGAGGAAGGAGAGTAATTTGGGCCCCAGGCATATCTTGTGAATCCTGATGGGGACTGTCCGATCAACTTGGATGATGACGATGAGGAGGAGGAGATGGAGGAGGAGCGGAAGGAGAGGAGGAAGAAGGAATGCCGTATTCTCATTCGTTCCCCTTTCTGACACCCTTGTCAACTCAACCCACAGGTACCCGAATGGGCCACAGGCATACCTCGTTAATCCCGATGGGGACTGTCTGTTCGTGACCCCCGCGCCCCCTGCACCCCTCAATCTCCCCCCCCTGCGTTTCTTCAATGCATGCAGGTACCCCGATGGGCCACAGGCATACCTCGTTAATCCTGATGGGGACTGGCCGATTCCCTCGGTCCTTGGATGATGCCGATGACGATGAAGAGGAGGAGACGGAGGAGGAGAGGAAGGAAAGTATTTTCTCACCCTGTCCGCTTTTATTGCGTCTGTCAACCCCCTTCCAGGTACCCTGATGGGCCCCAGGCGTATCTCGTGAATCCCGATGGGGACTGCCCAATCCCCTTGGATGATGACGATGAGGAGGAGGAGGAGACGGAGGAGGAGCGGAAGGAGAGGAGGAAGAAGGAGCGGGCGAGGCGGAAGGAGGCGAGGGAGCGGAGGGAGAAGATGACTGCAGAGAGTGAGAAAGCGGAGGGAGGAGAGGGGGGGAGTGGGGGAGGAAAGGAGGAAGGGAAGAAGGGGAGGAGAGAAGAGGAGGGGGGTAAGGCAAAGGAGGAGGGTGTATCTGTGACAGCTGTACCTGATTCGGCAGGCAAGCTAGTTGCTGCAGAGATTGCGGCTGCTGCAGTTGCAGTGGCAGCAGGAGCGGGAGGAGCAGCAGCAGCAGCAGGAGGGATAGCAGGAGGAGCAGGAGGATATACTGGGGTGCGAGTTACAGGTGTAGCAGGGGAAGCAGCACCTGCGGCTGATGCGGGTGTGAGCACTTGTGTCACTGACAAGGGCGGTGTGGGTGGTAGGGGTGATGGCACTGGTGACGGCATGGTTTACAATAGGCACGGTGATGCCACGTACAAGCACCAGACGTTCCTGCAGTCGCAGCACAAGCAGGAGGAGCAGCAGCAGCAGGAGCAGGATCAGGAGGACGAGGAGGAACACCAGCAGCAGCAGCAGCAATTGAAGCAGCAGCACATGAATAAGCAAAAGGAGTACCAAGGTGGGGGCAGCAACAACAGCAGCAACCAGCACTCCCTGTTAGACCTTCCTCTCCAGCCGTCCCCACTCACACCTGCAGCGTATGGGTCGGACGCAGAGGGGCACACGCCGAGTGAGGAGAAACGGAAACGGTTCAACGCGGGCGGGTGGATTGGGAATTTGATCAAGGGGAAGGAGCACAAGGAACACGGGCAGCAGCACGGGCAGCAGCACGGGCAGCATGGGCAGGCACAATCGCATGACCATGCACATTCGCCTGCACACGCATTGCACCACCATGCAAACGAGCATGCACTTGCACATGCACACTCTCACTCACACGATCATGCGCATGGGCATGGCTTGGGGCTGTTTTCAGGGCAGAAGCATGGGAAGCAGAAGCAGGAGAGTCACGTCGGCAGTGACTTTGTGGCGGCTGCTGCGGCCCGAGCCAGAGTTGCTGCTTCGGCACCCGGAGCTCATAGTGAGGGGGCAGGATCGGGGGTAGGATCGGGGGCAGGATCGGCTGATGCCAATGCGCATGGGCATGGGCATGGGCATGGGGGTGGGCATGGGCATGCGGGTGGGGGTGGCGGGCAGGCAGAAGGGCATGCGGGTGGGGGGCATGGTGGGCAGGTGGTGCATGGGGCAGATGGGGAGCATGGGCATGCCATGCATCTATCGCCAGGGCATGCCATGCATGGGTCAGCACCACATGGCGTGCATGTGTCACCAGGACATGGTGTGCATGCATCACCAGGACATGGTGTGCATGCATCACCAGGGCGAAAGCAGCATGAGCATGAGGGTGTGCAGAGTCAAGACGGTAATCACAAGCATGGGGTCTTCGGTAACTGGGGGTTTAAGAATGGCCATGCAGCCTCGCCTGCACATGAACATGCACATGCACATGATGCACCCCACCATGCAAACGATCATGCACACTCACACTTGTCACATGAACATGAGCATGAGCATGGGCGTGGGCTGGGCCTGTTTTCAGGGCAGAAGAATGTGAAGCAGAAGCAGGAGAGTCACGTCGGGAGCGACTTTGTCGCGGCTGCTGCGGCCCGAGCCAGAGCTGCTGCTTCGGCAGCCGCAGGTTCGGCGGCAGCAGGTTCGGCTGCAGCAGGTTCGGCTGCAGCAGGGGCAGGTAGCAGCTGCAGCGAAATCAGCTGCGGCAGTGTGGAAAAGCATGGGGTTGGGCATGGGGATAAGGGAACCATAGAGCCTTCATCCCCCGCCCATTCCTCCAGTTCCCATCACAGCCAGACACACTCCAACACGTCTCCTCATCACCAGCAGCAGCATCAGCAGCAGCAACAGCAGCAGCAGCTACTGCAACAGCAGCAGCAGGAGGCGCAGAATCAGCAGCAGAAGCAGCAACGCAAGGAGGAGAAGAAGAAGATCAGCAGGCAGAGCAACGTGGGCAGCAGCCTTGTCTTTGCCGCAGCAGCCGCAGCCCGCCAGAAAGCCGATGCAGCAGCAGCAGCAGCAGGGGCTTCAGGGCGGCATCTAGGCGTGCCGCACACGGGCAGCACGGGGGGCGCAGGCACAGGCACAGGGACGCCTCATAGCTACCGCAGCGGCCCTGCCAGTGGGTTGAACAGTGGGTTTGGCAGTGGTGCTGGCAGCAGCGGCAGCAGTAGCCCTGTGAGCAGCCGAGGGGCGGAGGAGCAGGAGCGGGAGGTGGGGCTGATGCAGAGTGGGCTGAGTGGTCAGAGTGGGCAGAGCAGGTTGCATCCCAGGGATGGGCAGGGGAATGAGAAGCGGGCTTACCATCTCTCTATGCATGGCAGCTGTGCTGCTGCTGCTGCTGCTGCTGGTGCTGCTGGTGCTGGTGCGGCTGCTTCTGCCGGTGATGGCACTAGTGCTGATGCTGGGCTTGGTGCTGCCACTGGTGCTGGTTTGGGAGAAGTTGTTAGTGGTAGTGGCAGCGGCAGTGGCAGACGGGGCGAGGAGAAGCAGCTGGAGTCTCAGTCGTCAGGTGGGGGTCAGGGCAAGGGCAAGGGGCTGCTGTTTGGAATCAGCAAGTCTCTAGGAGGTGCTAAGAGCAAGGAAGGCAAGGAGAAGAAGAAGGAGAAGGAGGAGAAGGAGAGGGAGAAGGAGAGGAGGAGGAAGGAGAAGGGAGAGAAGGAGAGTACTGTGGGGAGCAGCTTCGTGGCAGCTGCAGCAGCCAGAGCTGCAGCTGCTGCTGCCACCAAGGAGCAACTGGGCGCTGCTGCTGGGTCTAATGGGGGAGTGGGCGGTGCAGGACGGTTGGGAGCGGTGGGAGGGTCCATGGGGAGGATGAGTGGGGGGGGGAGTGTGCAGGGTAGTGTTGATGGTGGTGGTGGTGCTGGTGGTGATGCTGGTGGTAGCAACAGGAACAGCACAGGGGTTCGAAGCAACAGGAGCAGCAGCAGCAGCCTGCAGCAGCAGGAGCAGCAGCAGTACCAGCAGCAGTATCAGTACCAGCAGCAGTATCAGAATCAGCAGCAGCAGCAGCAGCAGCAGGAGGGTGACGGGGATTCGGTGAGCGAGCGAGATACAATGTCAGAGCGAGGCGGGGATGCTGAGGATACCGAAGGAGAGAGCGTTGATGGGGAGAGTGTGGAAGGAGAGAGCATCGAAGGGGACCGTGGGGACGGAAGCACCAGTGGTGGTGGTGGAGGGAAGAAGGGGAAGAAGAAGGGGACAAAGAAGGCCGGCCTGCGTGGCTGGCTGACCAAGAAGCTGCATGCTTCCTCCTCTCTGCCGCCCGCCAGCCCGGAACGAGGGGCATTGCCCGCCGCCCGGTCATCTCCCGGCCGCCCGGGGGAGAGCCCCAGCCGCCTGCGTGACAGCCCTGGCCGCCCACTTGACAGTCCCAGCCGCCCGTTTGAAAGTCCCGGCGCCTCACCCAGTCACGGTGGGGTTGGCCTGTCGCATAACCGTGGGGGTTCCTGGGAGGCCGGGCTTGGAGGTTCTGGGGGCGCTGGGGGCAGTGGTCGTGGCGGTGAGGGGGTTGGTGAAGGGTGAGGGGTTGGTGAAGGGTGAGGGGTTGGTGAAGGGTGAGGGGTTGGTGAAGGGTGAGGGGGTTGGTGAAGGGTGAGGGGGTTGGTGAAGGGTGAGGGGGTTGGTGAAGGGTGAGGGGGTTGGTGAAGGGTGAGCGGGTTGGTGAAGGGTGAGGGGTTGGTGAAGGGTGAGCGGGTTGGTGAAGGGTGAGGGGTTGGTGAAGGGTGAGCGGGTTGGTGAAGGGTGAGGGGTTGGTGAAGGGTGAGCGGGTTGGTGAAGGGTGAGGGGGTTGGTGAAGGGTGAGGGGGTTGGTGAAGGGTGAGGGGGTTGGTGAAGGGTGAGCGGGTTGGTGAAGGGTGAGGGGTTGGTGGAGGGTGAGCGGGTTGGTGAAGGGTGAGGGGTTGGTGAAGGGTGAGCGGGTTGGTGAAGGGTGAGGGGTTGGTGAAGGGTGAGGGGGTTGGTGAAGGGTGAGCGGGTTGGTGAAGGGTGAGGGGGTTGGTGAAGGGTGAGGGGGTTGGTGAAGGGTGAGGGGGTTGGTGAAGGGTGAGGGGGTTGGTGATGGTATGACTGCCACGGAAGGCACAATGGTACTGCTGGCTAACAGGAGTGCTGTCTGAGAGTCCAGGCGACTCGCCCAGCCATGTCGCACAACCGAGGGGGCTCGTGGGAGGGTGGGCTTGGGGGCTCTGAGGGTGCCGGGGACTTGGCGTCTCTGGGGCTGTTGTGGTGGTGAAGGGGTTGGTTTGGAGGCCACCATGTGGCTTCAGGCTGGCGGGAGTTCCGTGGGTGGGCGGGCTTGGGGTGGGCTTGGGGGTCTCTGAGGGGGCGCTGGGGATGATGGGGGCTTGGCGTCTCTGGGGCCGTTGTGGTGGTGAAGGGGTTGGTTTGGAGGCCACCATGTGGCTTCAGGCTGGCGGGAGTTCCGTGGGTGGGCGGGCTTGGGGTGGGCTTGGGGGTCTCTGAGGGGGCGCTGGGGATGATGGGGGCTTGGCGTCTCTGGGGCCGTTGTGGTGGTGAAGGGGTTGGCTTGGAGGCCACCATGTGGCTTCAGGCTGGCTGGAGTGCAGTCCTCTCCTCCTACCTTCTCTTCTCCCTCACTCCTCCCTTCCCTTCACCCTTGACCCTCCTCTGGTCAATTGCGCATTATGTTCTGTGTTCTCAACTCCGCCAATCCCCTCCCAGTTCCTGTTCCCTCCTCTCTTCCCTCCACTCCCCTTCACTCCACCTCCCTCCTCTGCTCTTCTCTCCCCCTCCCCCTTCTCCAAATTGTATTTTGATAGACTCGTCCATTTTACCGTATTTGGTAGTATGCGATTCATTCATGGCCTAAGGTTAGGTGCAAAGGTTAATACGGCTGCCCACTCTTTTGAGACACCGCTAAAAGGCTGAATACGGTATGACCGCCGAGTCCCCTACTCTTAGCTAATTGCGGGCCCGCTGAATTCGCTCCACATTTGCCCATTCTATCTAGTTATGTGATTCCCACATGCTGTGCTGCAACATTGGCAGCACCAGGTTTTGCGCTACCCCCCCCTTTCATTTTTTGCAGCCTACATGTAGTAGTGTATACATGATGTGGTATACTGTTTTTTATGTAGCACTGCCTCAGCAAAGTAGCGTACACCTTTTCATTCGTTCTTTTCTGTACGAGTTCCCTGCACCCTATGTGTCTTTTACAGTACTTGTTGAACAAGCAGACTACATAGTACTCCTAGAACACTGAGATATGCATTGTCAGAATGTGATATTTGTCTAGCCTGCAGGGGGTACTCTATAGCGAGTATAGCCCAAATTAAAGTTTCCTATATCTACTCAACTGCCTGCTAGTGCAAACCCTTTTTTTCTGTTCTAAACTTCTGCTTACTATTCTGATATGCATCTCTTCCTCCCACTTTAATTGCCTCTATTTACGTGCCAAGCAAGGAGAAACGACTAAATCCCTCATTCTCCGTTGATGCCCCAAGCTTTATCATTTGACTCACGTTAAAATAAGAATCAGATTCACTTGACACCACGGATCGCCCAGTGATTCCGGTTACCAAAGGAATCCATGCAGATGGTTACCGCACCCATGGTCAGTGGTTACAGCACTGGAACTGCTGGTTACCAGCTAGCTATCACTTGACGCCAATGAGCTCCACGTCAAACTCAAGAGTGGCGTTGCCGGGAATCTTGGGCGGGGCTCCCCTGAACCCATATCTGCAGGGGGAAAAGGAGTTAAAAGACGGATTGATTACTGCTGCATGTGGTGCTACTGGTCACCACATGGGAATCACTTGACGCCAATGAGCTCCTCATCAAACTCGAGAGTGGCGTTGCCGGGAATCTTTGGCGGGGCCCCTCTGAAGCCGTACCTGCAGGAAAAAAGAAGCCCAGGATAAAGGAAGGGTTTGTACTTGCATTGCGAGATAAGTAGAGCTGTGAGAAGAGTCACATCCTCAGCCAGCGTATGGGTCCGTGAGAGAGACAACGGTGGCATCAGTTGAGGTAGGCGAGAATTCTCAAAACCATTCATATGGGTAGGTGAGAGGGGCAACGGTGGCATCAGTGCCGCACCCGTCAATGCACCTTACTGTAATAAAGAAAGTCTTTTGATACACCTTGCAAGTAGGGCATGGGGCACTTGAAAGGTTTCGAGCACGGGTGACTTGAGAAGATAAAGGCAGGAGAATGCATGCACGTAATACAGCCCGGCACCATACGAAGCACCAACAGCACAGCAGCATGGCACATACCCGAGGGCAGGAGGGATGGTGAGACGCCTCTTGTCGCCAATCCGCATGCCTGCATGGCAAGGCAAGATGAAGGCATGCAGAGGGGTGAGACCCAGGGAGCGAGATGCAAGAAATGGATTGACTAGTTGTACAAGAATGGAAAACAAATGTCAAAGTTTGAAATGAAGAAAATTGAAGAACCGGCCTGCAAGGTGAAGGCATCAAGAGGGCTGGGACTGTGGAAAGCGATGGGAGACGAGGGTCACTGTAATTTTTGAGGCGCCTCAAAAATGAAGGCATCAAGAGGGCTGGTACTGTGGAAGGCGATGGGAGACGAGGTTCACTGTAAACCCTAAAGCAGTGAATGCAGGCAAAGGCGAGAAGCAAGAGACACACATGGCATGCACACTTACACATGGCATGCACACTTACACATGGCATGCACACATACACATGGCATGCACACATACACATGCACCCACGCATACACATGCACGTGCGCACATATGTACACCCATAAAGGCCTCTCCCCCTTTCCGTTACACCCATTTCCCCCCTCCCACCTCTCCCCCCATTCCCCACACACCTTTCACACTGACGTCCCACTCCTTGATCCCTTCTCACGCCTGCCCAGCACCCACACCCAGTCTCCCCCCTTTCCTTCATCCCAACCCACCCACACGCACACACACACCTTTCACGCCGACGTCCCACCCCTTGATCACTTCTCCCACGCCTGCCACATGGGTTGAAGATGTAGAGAAGATGAAAAGGAGACGAAAAGGAGATGAAAATAAGATGGAAAGACTATCAAACGAAGACGAAAAGACGATGAAAAGAAAGATGTAGAGAGAAGCAGGTTTGGACAAACGCTCACCTGGTGCGATCAAGGAGAAGGCCATTATTGTACCAAGGCGGTTTCACTGATTGTGGTGACTATGAAATTAAACATTCACACTGAGAGAGAGCACTCACACTGAGAGCACTCACACTGAGAGAGAGCACTCACCGAGGCGGAAGGCAAACGGTTGGGGATGGGTGAGGTTGGAGTCAAAGACCTTGCCTGTCTTCTTGAGACGGCCAATGTACCTCATCATGACCTGAGAGGCAAGGGGGATGGGGTGGGGGAGAGGGGTTTGTTAATAGGGAATTAAGCAGGGGGAGGGGCGTGGGTTGGTTGGGGATGGGTGAGGTTGGAGTCAAAGACCTTGCCGTTCTTCTTGAGGCGACCAATGTAAAGGCGGTCATCATCACCTGAGGTGAGACGATAAGAGAGTGGGAGTGGTAGTGGAGGAGGGAGGAAGGGGGTTGAAGGTATAAAAAACCCGTTCTTCTTGAGGCGACCAATGTACCTCACCATCACCTGATGTGAGACGATAAGAGAATGGGAGTGGTCGTGGAGGGGTGCAGGGTTTGCGGCAATGGGTGAGGGTGGAGTCAAAGACCTTGCCGTTGTTCTTGAGGCGACCAATGCAAAGGCGGTCATCATCACCTGAGAGGCGGTAAAGGGGGTGTGTGGTGTGGAGGGGGGATTAGACGACTGAGATATAGAATCAACCAGTTCTGGCTGGGGGGTGTGTGGTGTGGAGCAGGGGGCGTTCAGGCGGCATTTTTCGGACAGCCCAGGTACCGAATCTCTTCCTCCTCTATGCCCCTCGCGTGATAGAAGTAGTGTTTTAAGACGTCTCAACTCAAAACACTACTTGTTGTAGAAAGTGAAGTTTTGAGACGTCTCAAAACGCTACTTCTATCACGTGGCTTTTCCGGACAGCCCAGCCCAGCACAGCCCAGCCCAGCCCAGCGCAGCCCAGCCCAGCCCAGCGCAGCCCAGCCCAGCGCAGCCCAGCCCAGCGCAGCCCAGGTACTGCCGCTCGTCTCTTCCACCTCTATGCTCCTCACCAAGCCAATGAGCATGATACCTCACTCAAGTATTGAGTCGACTCAAAACATGCCCCTCCCTCACCAAACAAGCCGATAACCATGATCCCTCACTCAAAAGACCCTCAACATCACCCAGGGAACATGACCGTGCAATGACTTTTGAGACGTCTCAAAAGTCGTCTATGCCCCTCATTAAGCCAATGAGCATGATGTGACTCAAGACCCTCAACATCACCCAGGGAACATGACCGTGCAATGCAAGCACACTCACCTTTACGCTCACCTCTCCCCTTCCACCCGTCTCACCTTCTTGCCCGGCTCTGCCACCTTCCCATCGGGCTTCCCCATGCTCAGCTCCTCCACCTCCATGCCCCCTTGTTACAACTTACAACCCCCTTGACACTGCTCACACATGTCGAAGCGCAATGAACGCCATGCAAGCACACTCCCATCTCACCTTCTTCCCCGGCTCTGCCACCTTCCCATCGGGCTTCCCCATTTTGATCTCCTCCACCTCCATGCCGCCCGGAAAGACCCTTTTCCTCGTCTTCCCCTGCTTCTCCTCCCCTGCTCCTGGCGACTCTCCTGCTGCTCCGGATGCTGCTTGTTTTGCCTTTGCCCATGCCTCCCCGTCCTGCTTTTTCTTCTTTGCGTCCTCCTCCTGCTTCTTTTTCTTCTTCTCCTCGTCTGCTTGCTTCTTCTTTGCTTGCACCTCCTCCTGCTTCTTCTTCTTCTTCTTCTTCTCCTCCTCTGCCTTCTTTTTCTGCTCCGCCTGCTTTGCCTTGGCGTCCCTGAAGGTAACAAGGAGAGGAAGGAAAAGGAGTTCTTGAGAATCCCACAAAATGCTCCACATTGTATGTTTTTTTTGCAGGATTGGTGCGACTTTTGAGAATCCTAAAAAAAACACACACTACAAAATGCTCCACATTCTCTCTCTGCTCTACCTACTTTGCCCTACCGTCTTACGAAAGAAGCCTGTGGTCTCACTTCCGCTCAATATTCTCAAAAAAAGTCTCAAAAGGGGGTACAGTAATCTCACTTCTGCTCAATATTCTCAAAAAAAGTCTCAAAAAGAGGTACAGTGGTCTCACTTCTGCTCGGCCACGCGGCTCTTCTTCCCTGGTGGTGCCGCTGCGGCTGCTTCCCCTCCTGCTGCGCCCGCCTCTCCTTTCCTCTTCTCCGCCCCTGCCGCTGCTGCACCCTGCGCCTTCCCCTGCGCCTGCCCCGTCTCCTGCTGCTTCTTATCCTTTGCACCACCCTTCTTCCCCTTGGCAGTGCCACCAGCAGCAGCCTTGGGCTCCTGAACCAGGGGTTCCGAGCTGGGGAGAGCTGCTACAGCCGCTACAGCCGCCTTCCCTGCTCCCTGCTCCTCCTCCGTGATTTCCACTATACGCACTGGAAGGGGGGGAGGGGGAGAGAGATTAGGGGGAAAGGGGCGGAAAGGAAAGCGTTTCTACAGCCGCCTTTCCTGCCCCCTGCCCTCCTCCGTGATTTCCACTATACGCACTGGAAGGGGTTGAAGGGGGGAAAAGGAGGGGAATGGGGGAGGGCAAAGTCAAATGTGAAAAGGTCTCTTTTCGCCTTCCCTGCTCCCTGCTCCGTGATCTCTAATATACGCACTGGGAGGGAGGAGAGGAAGGTGAGGGAAGATGGGAGAAATTTTTGAGACGTCTCAAAACACTCCTTTTTTCACGTGGGAGGAGAGGAAGGTGAGGGAAGATGGGAGAAAGAGATGGGGAGTACGCATTGAGGAATGCACATGGCTCCTGGGGAGTACACATTGAGGAGGTGATATAAGCGTCGACTAAAAAATTACAGTGGGGGGAAGAGGTGGGGAGTAGGCAGTGGGAAGTAGGGAAAGAAGAAGAAGATGCAAGGTAGTAACGCAGTGATTTCTAAAAGGATCAGCGAGTGTAGAGGGACAGACAGAGGGAACGAAAGAGCGGGTAACAGAAACCAATTCTGGTAATTAAGCGGCATGAAAGGATCAGAGAGAATGGAGGAACTTGCACACACTGATTGCTGCTACCCAACACTTCCTCACCAATCAGTGTATGCAAGTTCCTCCATTCTCTCTGATCAGTGTCTACACTTGCATACGCTTCCTTCCATCTCACTCTCCTAGTTTTGAGTCGACTCAAAAGTTTTGAGTCTAAGGTTTAGGGTCGACTCAAAACCAACACGCTTCCTTCCATCTCACTCTCCTCTCCCTCGACATTCTTCTCCCCTCCTCGCCCTCCTCCTCACCCGCATTCCATTCCCCTTATGTCCTTTGAGTTGACTCAAAAGTCACCTCTTCACCCCTCCTCGCTCTCCTCCTCACCCCCATTCCATTCCCCTTATGTCAAGCATACCTCCCGTTTGACTGCTGTTTGCCAGCACCACCCCCTCCATCTCATCCTCCTCATCATCCTCATCTTCCTCGTCGTCTTCCTCATCCTCCTCATCATCTTCATCGCTATCATCTACAATTGCCCTCGACCAATCCCTGACATGAACACACATTTGGTAAAAGCAGCAGGCGAAAAACAAAACAAACAAACAACAACAAAAACAGAAGCGCATTGAAGCTATTGTATGGGAAAGGAAAGTGTCTCTTGAGTCAACTCAGAAACCCATAGCAGGCATGGTCGGAAACAGGTGGAAAACAGACGGCATGCAGAAAGGGGTTCTGCAGGCGATAATATTGACCACCATTTGTGGAACGACAAAAGAATGAAGTAGAAAGAGTTAGTCAAAGAGAGTCTGCTTACAGCGGCAGCCCTGCAGGGATTCATTCAAAAAATGAATGACTGCTGCTTTTCTTTACTCTAAGCTTACAGCGGCAGGCCTGCCAGGTGTGCGTCCTCCTCGTCCGTATCCACCTCCTCTCCCTCCTCCCCCTCCTCCTCGCTCTCCTCTCCCTCCTCCCCATGCTCCTCCTCCCCTCCCAACACCCCCTCAGCCATGTAATACCCCGACAAATGCACCGAACAATTTCCTCCTGCCCCTTTTCCCTCCTCGGGTACCACCAGGCTGATCTCAAACGGCTCGTCCATCATCAGATCCAACGGACAGCATTCCATGGGGCCGCCCGCGGTCAGCGAGCAGATCATGATCGGACGGCTAGCATCAGCCGCAGCACCAGCAGCAGCAGCAGCACCCGCCCCGTGACTATGGCTCTTGCCCTTAGGCTCACAGCAGCCGTTGACCGCACAGCCAGACTTGCTGCTGCTCCCAGGACTGCTTTTAACGCTAGCAGGACTGCCCTTTCCACCCGGGCTTGCCTTTCCCCCCGGGCTTCCCTTGCCCTTCGGGGTTCCCTTAGTTTCTAATGCTTCCCCCTCCCCCGCCTCCTCCCCCTCCTCCCCCTCTTCCCCTTCCTCCCCCTCCTCCTCGTGCATGGCTAGCACCCTGACTTGCACAAGGACGCGCTTGTTGAGAGGGCAGTCAGCCCCTAGGACAGCCTGAGGTGTGTGGATGGGGAACGGGAGAGGGGGGGGGGGGGGGGGGGGGAGGGGGTTGAGGGTTTAAGGAGGTTAAATGGGTGGGTGGGAGTGCTTTGACTCGCAGCAGCACGATTTTACGCAGGGGGCAGTCAGGCCCGAGAACAGCCTGAGAGGAGAGGGGAACGGGGGAAGGGGAAGGGGAAAGGGGTGAGGGAGAGGAGGTTTAACAGGTTGAAGCAAGAACAGCCTGGGAGTAGGTGTATCAAAGAGGTGAGTAGGACCAGGCGCACTTGAATCAGTTAGGAAGACGAAAACAACTAGGATTGTATGTCGATTATGCAGCAGCTCCTGCTGGGCGGCGACGGGTCCAGGGTTTTACACGCTTGAAGCCATTTCGAAGGGTACGGGGTTTAGGAGGCTCAGGGTTTAGAAGTTTCAAGCGCATATGGCCATTATCCCTTCAACGGCCCGTCTGGTACAGGTACCATCTGGTGCAGGTCCCATAGGGAACAGGTTTTATCCAGGGAAAGTCTTGACGGTGATCATTCTTAAATGAGGGAGGTTTTACCTGGTGACGATTTTATCTGGGGGAGAGGAAATTTCATGAAGGGGAGGCTTCACATGGGGGAGGTTTTACCTGGGAGATGTGGAGCGGCCCTCCGGTACCATCTTCAGGGTCGCACACGATTGGCTCGCCCTGCTTCACCTCCACGCCTGGCGCACGTGATTGTAACGAGGGAAAGAGAGGGGAGGAAAGAAAGAACGGAGGGACGGACGGACGATCAACAAATGAGGTTGATGACGTAGCATTCTCTTGCACGAGTTCTAAGTCAACCACTCCAACAGGTACAAGAGAATGCTACGCAGCCACAGCCGCCAAGTTTCTCTGCCTTCAGCCCTTCCCCATGGATCCCAACCGCGACCCCGGTGCTAACGGCGATACGCCGATCGCTCCCCACGGATCGCCGATCGCTAAAGGCGCTACGGGATTGGTGGGCTGGTCCGTAGAGCAGCGGGCACGCGGGGACGCGGGGTGGCAGAAGGGACGGAGCAGGGGGTGGAGGAGGAAACGGGCGGAAGAAGGCACAGGCACGAACCAGGGCGACCAACGCGCATTGCGGACAAACGAGGAGGAGGCAGATTCGCAAGGAAATCGAGACGGCGAGCCCGATCGGACTCGTTGATTCGAGGCGTAACGCCGAGTGGTGTGATCGGCGCTAATCAGATGCACGTACCCCAGAAGAGCATCGTGCGGTGCTGTGATCTGCACGGCTGTGCTGTACGGTGCTGCGCGGTTCACTGGACTGCTCCGATCTGCTTCACAACCTCCGAGAGTAAAGCAGCGAGACGAACTAGGGAAGAGAGTCTAGTAGAATGAAGCTACCGTGCGGGCGGATAGAAGTCTAAATGCAGTGGTGGAGTGAAGCAAGAGCACAAACGGCTGTGCTTCGAGAGGTTTCGGGCTTAGCTGTGCCTCGCGTTGTGACGAATAGCTGGCGAAGAGCGTGCGATCGGCGGCCAAAGAATGCGGCCTTCGCGAATGTTCTAGTTAGCGTATGAGTGTTGCTGCCAGCACCCCGTTATAGGCAGATATTTATGAAGCATTGTGGATTGAAAAAAAAATCAATACGTGATAACAAGAAGCGGCGCATCTGATGCATTATGAGGACCACTCTAGCTTATTACTCAATAATAATTCTGAATTATTGTTTTTGTGTGCTTTAATGAAGAAACGAAGTTAGTTAGCAATGAGGGTTGCGTGTCAAGGCAGATAGAAGGGTCAGAGATAACCACAACAGATACCAACTAGATTCTCAATGTACGTTCAACTCACATGTAATTTTTTGCTTGTACCGAGGATTTACAGCCACAGCAGTTTATTTTCGGCTTTTAGCTGACGCATGCAGATTTCGCTAGTGTAGGTTTGCAAATGCATGCAAAAGACGGTTCAGGGAAAACTGTCGGCCTGCCGGCAAAATTACGCGGTTACCCGTGTTCAGGGTTGAGGCTCCCCCAGTCGTATGCCATCCCGATGGGGTTTATGTTTTTCTGACCGCGGGCAGATAACATTTCGTCAGCCTCTTTCCCCTACGGCCGTCTATTGTATGCATCTGCATTATCGCACTGGCATAAGTTGAATGCCGTTAAAAATGGCCCGTCTATTTTGCAGCAGATCAACATTTATCGGAATTCCATTTCCGCGAGTTTGACCAAGGAGATACTTTCCCGTCTTATTCTCCAAGTAACTGCTCTTTCCTTGCTGCCTGCTCTCTAGCTTCCTGGTCATGGCGTCTCAGCCAATCCTGGACTGGCAGCTGGACGAGGACAGGTTCGTGACGCTACTGGAAAAGCTGATCAACGAGGCGCGTTACCTTCAGGTGAGATTAGGAGTTGTCGTGTCGTTCTGCTGCCAGCTGGCAACAGGAGAAGCTCCGATGGCGTAGCGATCCGGTTTTGTGATCTCTGCGAAGCACATGTCGTGTTGCATGTATCTCCTTCGATTGCGTGGTTTACGAAATCACTTTGCGGTCCTTCCAATTACCTTTTTTCGATTTCACCATCGTTCCGTCTTGACTATTCCGTATGACGCCACGCCATCGCCGCGTTTTGCCAGTTGAATCTGGTCCGAGAGTTGTTACCGCTCCACCTGGTCGCCCTGTGCCTTGAATCTGAACTCCTGTGTTTCACGCTTCGTTTCCATCGCTGTCCGTTGTGTGACTATCGAATGTCCTGCTGGCTGGCAGAACAACCCTCCTGAATGCGTGCCCAAGGAGGACCGCGCAGTGCGACACGTTCTCGAAGTGCTGCAGCCCTACAGGTACCTATGTCTTATAAGTTCTTTAGAAGTTATATTTAGTTCCCCCTCTTACATGTACGTACAGCCCTACAGAGCCGTACAGAGGACAGTGCGACATGTTCTGGACGTGCTGCCTGCAGCCGTACAGGTACCTATTTTTCTTGAGGTTTTTACACATTGATTCTAGTACCCCTTCTTACAGGTACTTACAGCCCTACAGGACCTGAAGAGGGCAGTTTGACAGGTTCTGCGCGTGCCACAGCCCCCTCTTACAGCCCGTTAATTTATAAGAAGTCTAGAACTGATTCTCAGGTACGACGACCGTTCGTGCAGCTTGCAGTGCGACATGCTCTGAACGTGCTTCAGCCTTGCAGTGCAGATGCCCCTATGATCCAAATTCGTCTCGGAGTAGCAGCAAACCTGTAGAGACGCTTAAGCGAAAGGATCGAGACTTGTAAAAATTGCTCCCAGAAATTCAAGAAAATCTCAAAACCTTCAAACTCGAAAGAACCCCCATTCGCGAACGTGCTTCAGCCCTGCAGTGCAGGTGCCCCTATCGATGTTCCTGTTTTGAGGCGCCTCAAAACAAGCCCTGCAGTGCAGGTGCGTGCCCCTATCGATGCTCCCTTCACAAACTCAGAGTCGCCCTCGGTACAGTTTTCTCCACAGTCACTCTCGTTTTAGTCTTCTTCTCTGCAGTTTCCAGAAGTATTTTGTCAATATTCACCCTCGTGCTTACCCATCTTCATTCGTACCCCTGTGCTGTGTGCAGTGAGGAGGAAGGAGGCCCGCTGCACATACAGCCCGCTCGCACCCCTCCAACGTCCTCTCCTCAATCCTCACCCCCTCAGTCCTTTCTCTGTCACCCTCTCTGTCCTTTCCCCCTTGTGTTGAGTGCAGTGAGGAGGAGGGCGGCCCGCTGCACATCCAGCATGTGAGCTACGTGGAGGGGCGAGGCAACCTCATCATCACATACAAGGGCTCACACCCCTCCAACGTGCTCTCCTTTGTCGGCTGTCACATGGACGTCGTCACTGCCAACCCCGATGACTGGGTGAGCATCAGCATCTTGTTAGTGTGATTGGGTGGGTTGGGTAACGCACAAGGGTTCTCGCACGGGCTTGCTGGGGCAGCCTGATCATCACGTACAAGGGCTCGCACCCCTCCAAGCTTCTCTCCTTCATGGGCTGTATGTCACATGGACGTCGTCGCCGCCAACCCTGACGACTGGGTGAGCTGTTTGGGTATCTGCTGCTGGGGTTCGCACCTGGCCTGGTTGGGGCAATCTCATCATCACGTACAAGGGCTCGCACCCCTCCAAGCTTCTCTCCTTCGTGGGCTGTCACATGGACGTCGTCACTGCCAACCCCGATGAATGGGTGGGTTGTAACCCGAGAATGGCGGCCGCAGGTGCCTATCCTTGCTGCCCTGAGTGTTCTCAGGTGGGCACTAGTTTTTCCGGGGTTGTTTTGAGGTACCATCCCGGTCTGCCTGCCTAGCTAGCTAGCTATAGTGCCCTGACCCTCATCCCCCATTGCCTTCCGCTCTCTCCTTCCTCAGAACTTCGACCCCTTTACCTTTTCTCGGGACGGGGACAAGCTGAGGGGTCGAGGCATCGCGGACTGCCTGCTTTTGAGTCGACTCAAAAGCATCACGGACTGCCTGGGTGGCGTCAGCGAGGGTGCCCTCTCGCTCCTCCTCCCTCACAGTCCCTTCCTTTTCCCACTCCCCTTTCTGCAGCACTTCGACGGTCAACCCCTTCACTTTCTCTCGGGACGGGGACAAGCTGAGGGGCAGAGGCACCACGGACTGCCTGGGCCACGTGGCACTCGTCACGTCACGGAGCTCATGCGCTGCCCCCTCCCTCTCACATTCTCTCTTCCCCCCACCCCACTTCCCTCGCCTCCGAGGTGACTTTTGAGTCGACTAAAAAAAAAACGCACCCCACTTCCCTCGCCTCTGCATCAACAGGACTTCGACCCCTTTCACCTTTTCTCGGGACGGGGACGAATTGAGAGGCAGGGGCGCAACGGACGGGCCGCCTGGGCCACGTGGCACTCGTCACGTCACGGAGCTCATTCACCCACATTCTCTCGCCCGGACGGACTGCCAGCCAGCTAACAGCTCTTTCCCCCCTCTCACATTCTCTCGTCTCGTCCGCCCTCTTCCCTCGCCTCTCTTTTACCAGGACTTTGACCCCTTCACATTCTCCCGAGATGGGGACAAGCTGAGAGGCCGTGGCACCACGGACTGCCTGGGCCACGTGGCGCTCGTCACGGAGCTCATGCGCCAGCTGGCAGTCTGCCGCCCGGAGCTGGGCGCTACAGTGGTGGCGGTGCTGATAGCCAATGAGGAGAACGCAACAGTGAAGGATATTGGAGTGGATGGGCTGGTGAAGGCAGGCCTGCTGGACCACCTCAGAAACGGACCCCTGTGAGTTCCTGTTTCCCGCCTCCCATCACCTCTCACAACAAGGAGAATGCGACGGTGAAGGATATTGGGGTGGATGGGCTCGTCAAGGCGGGCCTGCTGGACCACCTCAAGCACGGCCCGCTGTGAGTCCCCCTCTCCCTCTCCCTCTCCCTCTCCCTCTCCCTCTCCCTCTCCCTCTCCCTCTCCCTCTCCCTCTCCCTCTCCCTCTCACTCTCCCTCTCCTCCCTCCTGTTCCGCGCCTCTCCTCTCCCATTGTTCTTCACGGTGGTGGCGGTACTGATAGCCAAAGAGGAGAACGCGGCCGTGAAGGACATCGGTGTGGATGGGATGGGCTTTTGAGAATTCTCAATAGCGACATTGGAATGGATGGGGTGGTAAAGGCGGGGCTGTTATGTTATCTCACCTCAAGAACGGACCTCTGTAAGTTCCCTTCACCTCGTCTCTCAAACCTCGCCTCAAACCTCGCCTCAAACCTCGCCTCAAACCTCGCCTCAAACCTCGCCTCAAACCTCGCCCCAAACCTCGCCTCAAACCTCGCCTCAAACCTCGCCCCAAACCTCGCCTCAAACCTCGCCTCAAACCTCGCCTCAAACCTCGCCTCAAACCTCGCCTCAAACCTCGCCTCAAACCTCGCCTCAAACCTCGCCTCAAACCTCGCCTCAAACCTCGCCTCAAACCTCGCCTCAAACCTCGCCTCAAACCTCGCCTCAAACCTCGCCTCAAACTCGCCCCAAACCTCGCCCCAAAACTCGCCTCAAGACACCTCTGAGTTAAGACTCAGAGACCTCGTGCAACCTCTCCGCACCGTTCTCTCTCATTCCGTCCTCTCTCTGCTTCCCATGTCCCCCACATGCCACGTGGCAGCTTCTGGGTGGACACGGCGGACAAGCGAACTCGCCCCAAAACTCATCTCAAGAATCGTCCCAGGACTCAGACCTTCTGTCCATCCTCTTCTCACCATCCTTTCTCTGCCTCTATGTCCCCTCCATGCCACGTGGCAGCTTCTGGGTGGATACGGCAGACAAGCAGCCGTGCATAGGCACGGGGGGCATGCTGGCATGGAAGCTCAAGGCGTTTGGGAAGCTCTTCCACTCGGGCCTGCCGCACAAGGTGAAGTGGTTTGTGCTTGCCACAATGTGATTCCTCATCTTGTTGTTATGGGGCCTGCTGCACAAGGTGAAGTGCCCTGTCGTGCCGCATGTATGGACGCGCATGTGCTTGCCACACAAGGTGCTCGACGCTTGTAAGGGGCACACGCGAAGCTCAAGGCGTTTGGGAAGCTTTTCCACTCGGGGCTGCCGCACAAGGTGAAGTGATTTGTGCTTGGCACACATAGAAGTGAATCACGTTCCCAGCCCAGCCCACAACGTGCTCTTAAATGCCGCAAGCAGAGCTCAAGGCGTTTGGGAAGCTCTTCCACTCGGGGCTGCCGCACAAGGTGCTGTTTTCTCAATGACTAGGCATGTTGATAACCTGGCATAAGGGAAGCTCAAGGCGCGCACACAAGGTGCTCTCTTATCATTCAGCACCTAAACATGAGAATCCCCAAAAGTGGCACCAGCAAGGGTGTGCGGCGAGCTCTGTCACGCGGGCCTGCCGCACTAGGTGACTTGTCGTAGCACATGTGTTCTACCCTCAGGGTACTCGCTAAGTTGCTCAAGCAACTGTGCATCGGCTCGGCACAGGAGGCATGCTGGCATGGGAGCTCAAGGCATTCGGGAAGCTGTACAAGCGAAGCTCAAGGCGTTCGATTCGATGAGCTCCTTATTCCAACCCCACCCCGCTGCACCCCTTGCTCCCCCCCTCGCACTCCTCTCTTGGCAGTAAATCCCATCGAGCTCGCCATGACAGCACTGGCGGAGATGCAGACCCGCTCATACCACCTTCTCCTGTGTCGTCTCCATTTCTCTCACTCCAGCTCCAAACCTCTGCACTCCAACCTCACTCCTGTGAACCCCTTTACACCCCCCTCTCTCTTCCAGGCGGTGAACCCCATAGAGCTGGCCATGACAGCACTGGCGGAGATGCAGACCCGCTTCTACGACCTTGCGCTGTGTTTTCACCAGCCCTCCTCACCTCAACTCTACCCCTCTGCACTCCTTTGCACCCCTCTCTCTTCCAGGCGGTGAACCCCATTGAGCTGGCCATGACAGCACTGGCGGAAATTCAGACCCGGTTTTATCGGGACTTCCCCGCCCATGCCATGGAGAAGACGTATGGGTTTGCTACACTGTCCTTACTCCAACTCCACCCCTTTGCACTCCTTACCACCCCACAACACTCCCTTCCAGGCCATCAACCCCATCGAGCTGGCCATGACAGCAATAGCAGAGATCCAATCCTGATTTTACCGGGACTTCCCTCCACATGCCTTGGAGAAGACGTATGGTTTTGCCGCACCCTCCACACACCAACTCCACCCCTTTGCATCCCTTTCCACCGCTCTGCACTCCTGTGCAGGCGGTGAACCCTATCGAGCTCGCCATGACAGCCTTGGCGGAGATTCAGACCCGCTTCTATCGGGACTTTCCTCCTCACGAGATGGAGAAGACGTATGGGTTTGCCACACCATCGACCATGAAGCCCACTCAGTGGTCGTGTGAGTGAATGGTGTTGAATAAAGTTGAGTGGTATTGAGTGGAGTTGAGTGGTGAGTGAGCAGAGAAACTCCACTGGATATCTGATGCATATTGACTGGAGCTCCCATCATCTTGCCCACCTGGTCCAGTTCCCTCGTTTTACGCAAGGAGGTTTTTCGGAAGCTAAGGGTTTTTTAGATCTGCGTTTTTCACACTCGTTTTTTTTCACTGTTGTTCCGTTGCTCAAGCTCCCATCATCTAGCCCACCTGGTCCAGGTCCCTCGTTTATCCCTGCAAACTGCCTTCTCCTCTCCTCCTCCTCCCCTTTGCACATTTGCTTCCTGGCCATACCTACCTGAATTTTAGATAGTAAACCCAAACCCCTCAACCACATTTTTCAGCTGTCCCAAGTGGTCTGATCCCAGCGTCTCCCTTGCAACATTCGCTTCTTGGTCTTATCTTCTGGAATTTCGGATCGCAAACCCAAAATCCTCAACCCTCAGTTTGAACTTTTCCAAGTGTTTCTTTCCCAACCCAAATTCCCCTTCCACAATGTGTTTCCTGGGACTACTTGGTTCTACCCAACACGCGTGTGATGAGTCGGTTTTTTAGTCGACTCAAAAAACAACTTTCCCAAGTTCCCCTTCCACAATGTGCTTCCTGGGCCTACTTGGTTCGACCCAACACCCGAAACCCCTGAACCCAATACTTCCTTTTGTCCATGTCTGTGGCTGCACCAGATCCGGGCGGCAGTGTGAATCAGATCCCTGGGGAGTGCACACTTGCAGGAGATTGCAGGTAGTGTCGCTGTTTTTTTCACTCCTCCCTCTCAGCTTACATGATGCACCAATTCCCGTCCTTTAAATTCTGCGTTCTCTTCCTCTTTACTCACTTCTCTTGACCCCCCCCATCCCATCCGCGTCACTCTGTCCTTCTTTCCCCCCATACTTTTTGTGCCTTTTCCCACCTCGCATGGGCTTTCGTGCGGTCGATGCTTGCGTGTGCCTACATTGCACTTGCCTCTTCCCCCGACGGCATACGACATCAGAATAACGCCATTCTATGAGTGAGTGATTCCTGAGTGTGTACTTTCCATTTTGAGTATTCTCTATGCCAATGTGCAAGATTTGTGCGTGCATGCGATTCTTATAGAGTTGGAGGCGCTTTTTGAGAATTATCGAGTTGACTGAAAAATAAAATGGTTTTTTTTTACCCCCTACAACATGAAAATCCATGCATGCATGTCTTAAGAGCAATCGTTCCCTGAGTGCAAGTACTAGCATGCACTGGCATGCGTGCTTACGCATGATTTTTTGAGAACTAGCATGCCGCTAAATGATTATGGGAACCCTGTTGTGCCTCCTGTTTGTGTGAACTCATGAGAATCCAAGTGAATCCCCATGCTCAGCCATTGCCGTCTCTCTCCCGTCCCTCTGCAGTGTCGACGAGGCGGCAGCGACGCGGAGTCAACACATGGCAGGCATAAGCACCAAATTGTACCCCATGCGCTCATGTGCTACTTAGGCCCACCAACTCACACCGCACTTCACCTCTCCCCATGCCCTCCCACTCCCCACCACCGCAGTGTGGATGAGGTGGCAGCAAAGCTGAGGGAGTACGTGGCAGACATAAACGCCAACCTGTCCACACTCTCAGGCCCCGGCCCGTGCTCGAAATTTGTTCTGCCCGAAGAGAATCTGCAGGGCAGGTTAGAGGGGGCTTTTGAATTTGTTGATTGAGGGGGAAGGGGGAAGAAGAGAAGAGAGGGATGAAGGGAAGAAGCTGAATCTTGGGGCAGAGAGTGTGGGGAAGGTGAAGAGGAAGGGGCAGGAAATGTGGAGAATGGAGAATGAATTGGTGTTGAATTCAGTGGGGAAATTTGGGTTTCTAGACTCATGCTGTAGACACGTGTCATCTGTTTTTTAATTTCCTTAACACGTCTGCCCTCTTTCCGCCTCTCCTTTCCCTCCCTCCGTCTCCCACAAATCAACCCTCATCCATCCAATCCCCCAAGTTGGATATAGCAGATTCAAAAGGGATTACCATGTAAACTAATGCATGTCCTTCATTCTCTCTACCTTCCTCTGTTCTCGCCCCTCGCCCACTCTCACGAACCAACCCCCTTCCTGGAACCCCCTTTGTAGGCTCGAACTGGAGATAGCAGAGGCGCCAATGAAGGGTGTGGCGTGTAACCTGGACTCGCCTGGTTACCACGCGCTGGTAACTGCCACGAAGGAGGTGATGGGCGAATGCAAGCCGTACTCCATCACGGGATCCCTGCCGTTGATTCGCGATCTGCAGGAGGCGGGGTTCGATGTGCAGACCATGGGATATGGTAAGATCGGATTTAATTTGATTGGGTTTTATTGTTTTGATGGGTTCTTGTTCTCATGTCCGTTTAGTTGTTCTTTTTTTCGTTTCTGTTTTTGATTTTTTGGAGCCTCGTTGCACACCCTCTTTTGCACCCTTGCCTTTTCCGGCATGCCCCGTTCCCAATGGCAGGTGTCATGGCCACTTATCATGCACGAAATGAGTATGCGCTGCTATCGGACTTCAAGCTCGGCTATCGCGTCCTTACCAACCTTATACATAACCTCTCGTAACTCAGTTTTGTGGATAAAACGGATTGTACTAGTGGGGCTTTTTCACTGTTTACGGTACTATTTGTGTGTGGAGGGTGACCTATGTGTAATACCAGCATCTATACTAAGGAGAACACTACAGGTAGAAGAGTGTAAGGGCGTGAAATAAGCGGACGAATAATGAGTTTTCCCTAACGACTGTTCTGTAGGCACCCAAAAGTGATACGCTCGCGGCCACAGTGTGCCGCCTGGTCCCAACAACCATGAACTGTCTTGCAACCACAAATTTGTCGCGAGGGAGAAGCACGAGCGGCCCCGACTAGACACGTTACCGCGTTTTGGCGAGCGATTGCGACACGCGTTAATGTTCGCAAACACGGAGAATATCCAGGAGGAGCAATCCCAAAGACAGATAAAATTCCCAAGACAGAGAAACGGTCCCTAGGGTCAAGTACAATATCTAGGTCAAATGATGTAGACTAGTTATGTGCTGTCTAGGCCAAGGCACTGGCGACAGGACGTTTAGAACGTTTGTGTAAGTTATGTGCTTCCTTGTTTTGTCAGGGCTTCGACATTTTGAGATAAAGCGATAGAAACTGCCATCTGCACAAAGAATGGAGCTTCAGGCGAATAGATTAGACGGCAATAAATGCAGGCTAAGAATACACGTGGCGATGTTTATGAAAGGTTAAGTTTCCTCGAGAGTCAAAGGGTCGCAAGGTAGCCATGGCTGAGCCCGAAGAGTATTTAATTTATTACGCCGCAATAGTCTATCGCGGTACAATTCTTTACGCGCACAGCAGCTTTCCTGGGGACTGCACCTCCATTATCACGGAGGCTATGCGACAATTGCCTGATAACGTATCCAGCTATTCCCGGGTAGGTCTCTCTTTGTATAGGCCTTTCTCATCTAGGCAAAACAGTCATTGCATTTCCTCGGTTGGAGACAGGTTCCGTAAACGCGGTAAAGTCATTCTACGAGACTTACCTTTCCGTCAGCTTCTTGACGACTGGAGTTTTTTTGTCGTAACCCTAACTAAGCCGCGGGTCTGTAGTCGCTTATTCAGAACTGTCTGCCATCAGACAATCTGAGTAGCCTTACAATGAGCCAAACTCTACAAGAAAGTGCGAGACATAGCTCCTGCTAGAGAGTGGGGCTTCATACACGCAACGCAAGTTACTACCCTAGCGTTAACGCATCTGCTTATAGTTGTACCAGCCTAGCTTTACACGTAAAGGTGTTCATGGAAGCGAAAGGTGCTTCTCGAGCATTTCGTCTGCAGTACCGTCTTACCTTGCGTCAGTTTCCGTGCCTTCTCTGCAATGCTACGATGAAACCGTGCTTGCGTTTTGAGACGTCTCAAAACTTCCTCAATCCATGCTGCGCTCTGCAATGCTACGATGAAACCATGCTCGCATTTTTTATGCGAGGCACAGCCATCTAGACGACCTTTCAAGTAGACTCAAAGTCATCCCTTTCAATCCGTGCTGTGCTGTGCTGTGCTGTGCTGTGCTGTGCTGTGCTGTGCTGTGCTGTGCTGTGCTGTGCTGTGCTGTGCGGTGCAGAGCTACGATGGAACCATGCTCGCATTCCTTGTGCGAGGCAAAGTCGTGTACACACTCGGCGGCCACGAAGCACTGGACAAAATCCGCGCTTACAAGTTCCTCGAGCAGGTACGCGTTACAATGTGGCCATAGCCCTCGCATTATAAGTCTTTGGAGCAGGTACGCGTTTTGCACAGCTTCCCTGTCGTCGGCGCACTACCTCATCTGCTCTCTGGCCCGAACCTTGTTAGAGATTCTCGTGACCCTCAATGATTCGAAGTTAATGCCCGCTGCTGATGCTACTCTTCTCCTGTGCAGCTATGCTCCAGTACAACAAGCACAGCCTGTTCTCTCTTTTCATCCCCTTCTACTCCCCCCTGCTCCTCATCTTCAAGCATCCCAGCGCCATTCCACCCTGTGCTGACAGGAACCAGGGACGGAAATCTCCGCAGCAGATTTGAATATTGTCGACATTTCCCCCTTTCTACCCCCCTGCCTCTCAACTTCACTGATCGCAGCTCCGTCCCGTCCATGTGCTGGCAGCAACCAAGGGCGATTTTTTCCGCCTAATGTCAACTTCTTTTCCTTTCCACTCCCCTGCTTCTCATCTTCGTTCATCCCAGCTCCGTTCCATCCACGTGCTGGGGGCAACCAAGGGCGAAATTATCCGCATCGAAGTTGAGAATTGTCAACATATCCTCCTTTCTACTCCCCTGCTTCCCGTTCTCATTCATCGCAGCTCCATTCCATCCACGTGCTCGCAGCAACCAAGGACGGGATTTTCCGCACCGACCTGCTCACCTCTCAGTACAATCACGCCCTTCATAAGCTCAGCTCGCATATAGGCACGCTCATGGCTAGTGTGCGCGGAAACATACCCCCACGCGAACCCCTGATTGTCTACCCGGACGCGCCTAAGGCCTACCTGACCTGCCGCTCCAGAGATGAGCTTCTGGCCAAGTCTCCCTTGCACCCACGAGCCGCTGCTACAGCCTCTGCTACAGCCGCTGCTACAGCCACCGCTTCTGTCTTTGCCGCTGTTGCTGCCGCTACAGCCAAGGCCTCTCCCTCTGTTACATCCGCTACAGCTGAGTCGAGCTTGTTTACAGCAATTGATTCTATGGATTCACCAGAAGGCGGGAGGGTGAGTGGAGGGAGGTCCAGGCCACATCTAAGGATGGGGGTTGTAAATAGGGATGAAGGGGATGGTTGGCTGGGGGAAGAAAATAGGGGCATGGGTTTTGGCCTAGAGAGGGGCATGGAAGGCGTGGAGAGGGGCATGGGTCTAGGCTTAGAGAGTGAAGATAGCGCTGTGAAGGTGGAAGTAGCTGATAGCAGCAGCGGTTGCGAGGAAGATGAGGAGGAGGGTGAAGAGGAGGAGGAATTTGTGTGGAATCCGCAGCAACAGCTTCAGAAGCAGCAGCAACAGCAGCAGCAGCAGCAGCAGCAGCAACGCCGGCCATACTTAGACCTATCGTCACTGCAGCAAGAGCAGCAGGGGCAGCAACGGCAAGCGCGGGAACAGCAGGGGCAGGGGCGGCAGGAGCAGGAGAAGAACCCTCTAAGCGACGCTGGAGACTCGCCCATGATCAGCCCACGGCCTGAATGGGCGCGTCAGCTGGCCTTGCTGCGAAACTACACCAGCGAAGCCACAGATACAGACAGCACAGCTGAGAACCATGGAAAGGACATGGTAAAACGGTCAGGCAGCAAAGCGAAGCATCCTTTCAAAGAGGGGGAGGTGCGGAAAAAGGGGACGGGGAGGCAAGTACAGGCACAGAGGGACGATGGGGAGGGGCTGAACGGAGGGAGAAGGGACCGAAGCCGCAATGGGACCGTTGTGGGTTCAAGTTCGGATTTCAGGCGGACGGAAGGAAAGGGGAGGTCTGTTAGTAGTGGGGGGTCTGGAGGGGCGGGGTCCGGTTTTGATAAGGATTTTTCAGGTGATGGATTGCCGAATAGGTCTGGCTCGTTCCCGAACCTGTCTCCTGCTCGTGTGATTGCTGCAGCCGGAGCAACGGGAGGAACAAGGGCAGCAAGAGCAACAGGGGCAGCAGGGGCAGTAGGTACAGCAGGGGCAGCAGGAGGACGAGGCAAGGCTCCCGTGGTTGCGTATGGGCGTTGTAGGTCCTTGTCGTTTGGAGGGAGCAGCAAGACGCGCCTGCAGGCTGATGATTGCAGTGGTGACGAGGATTACTATACAGAGGACAGTTTTTATGAGGAGCAGGTGGGCAGGAAGCGTTGCAATGATAATGAGGTTTACCATACAAGAGTTTCTGCTGTAGCTGGTGCTGGTGGTGGTGCTGGTGCTGGTGGTGATGGTGATGGTGGTGGTGGTTGTTCTGGTCATGGTGGAAAGGGGAACGAGGAGAAGAAGAAGGCTTTTGGTTCAAAAAGGGGAGGAATCAGAGAGGGTAGCGATCCTCGGACAAAACAAGAGGCCGAGTTTGGCTTTTCTGGTGGCCGTGTAGTAGGAGCGTCCTTGTCACTGCCTCACGAAGAAACACGTTTCTCGCACTCACCTGCACCTGACGCTCATTTCCCAAGGCAGCAGCACACGGCGCGTGTGGCAGCATCCTTTTCCCTTCCTCGCATCGACACCCATTTCTCACACTCAGATGCTGACTCAGCGCCAGAAGGAGCAGCGGCAGAGGCAGAAACAGAAACAGAAGCAGAGGCAGGGTCTGAGGCAGCGGCAGAGATAGAAATGACAGGGGTGGAGACAGATTCTGGTTCCGATTCTTACACAGGTGCAGCGTGGAAAGCACAGAAGGTGGGGCACCAGGCGGGGCGCGTTAGACGAGCAACCACTGGGTCAGGACAGCAGAAGCTGCCCTTAGGCCGTGTGATGCACACCACCACCGGCACTAAGGTTGCTACTAGGAGCCTTACAGATTCTAGGAATGGTGCTGGGACTGGAGTTAGGAATGGGGCTGGTGCTAGGAATGCGGCTGCTACTAGGAGTGGTAGTGCTGGGAACGGCACCAAAATCGGTGGTGGAAGTGGCAGGGAATCTGATGATAGGAGTGGCATTACTGGGGCTCGTGCTGGGGCTAGTAGTAGCAGTGCATTGGCACGAGGGCACATAGGGAAGTCGTTTTCGCAGGACTACACGATGCAGGTTTTCCCAAGGGAGGAGCTGCCAGGTGGGCAGGGGCAGAGGGCTTCTGGCGGTTCAAGGGGTGGGAGAGGAGGTGTGGGGCACTCATCGCTTGGTGGAGAGTGGGGTTTTGGTGATTCTGGTAATTCTGGTAATTCGCCCTCCGGCCAAGCATGGGACTCGGAGGTTGCAAGCAGGCTAGCAGCTGTGGGCGCTCGTGTGCTAGCAGGGAGTGGAGGAGGAGTAGGGGGAGGAGGAGCAGGAGTCGGGACGGGGATAGTAGGGGCAAAGTTAGCAGGGAGAGAAGCAGGAACAGATGCAGGATTCCCGAGGGGCGGTTCGGGGGACGATCTGTTTGACGATATCTCAGAAGGCGATGAGGACGACTCTGACGCGTTTGAGTGGCGCCCATCTCGTCGCCGCACTCGCATGCTGGGCGGTGTTGCCCGGTCCACGTCAGCAGTCACCTCTCCCACGTCAGCGATGGGCTGGACAGGTTGGCGCGACCTGAGTCAGCAGCACAAGTGGCAGCAGCAGCAGCAGCAACAGCAGCAAACAGCGCAGGCTCACTCGCATAAGCCTCGCCATAAGCACTCCCAGGAGGAGAGGTCTAGGGAGAGGCCTCACTCAGCAGGGACACACAGAGAGAGCTATGGGACGAGAGGATCGGTAGAACCAGCAGGAACAGCAGGAGGATCCGCGAGCACAAGACCTAGCTCAGCTTCTTCTATTGACAGGGAGAGGGGGAAGGGGGGAAGGAGGAGAGAGGAGAGAAGCGGGGCCGTTTCTGCTGCTTCTGCTGCCTCTGCTGCTTCTGCTGCTACTGCAATGGCTAGTAGAAACGCTGTTCCTGTCTCCGTGTCGCTGGGTGTGACAGGCACGTCGTTTTCTCCCGGGGGTGGTTTGAATTCAACTTTGGGGGGTGAAGGAACCTTGGGTGGCGTGTTTCCCCGTCACAGCAGCGTGGGTTCTGGTGGCAGGCGTGATAGTGGTGACGGTGGAAGCACGCACGGTGGCAGTGGTGACGGTGGGAGGTATGGTGGCAGTGGTGACGGTGGGAGGTATGGTGGCAGTGGTGACGGTGGGAGGTATGGTGGCAGTGGTGACGGTGGGAGGTATGGTGGCAGTGGTGACGGTGGGAGGTATGGTGGCAGTGGTGACGGTGGGAGGTATGGTGGCAGTGGTGACGGTGGGAGGTATGGTGGCAGTGGTGACGGTGGGAGGTATGGTGGCAGTGGTGACGGTGGGAGGTATGGTGGCAGTGGTGACGGTGGGAGGTATGGTGGCAGTGGTGACGGTGGGAGGTATGGTGGCAGTGGTGACGGTGGGAGGTATGGTGGCAGTGGTGACGGTGGGAGGTATGGTGGCAGTGGTGACGGTGGGAGGTATGGTGGCAGTGGTGACGGTGGGAGGTATGGTGGCAGTGGTGATGGTGGGAGGTATGGTGGCAGTGGTGAGGGTGGGAGGTATGGTAGTGGCGATGGTGGGAGCAAAGAGGCAAGAGGGGACAGGCTAAGGGGCAGTGGAACAGGAACAGGAACAGGAGCAGGAGGAGGAGGAGCAGCAGGAGTGAAAGCTGGAGGAGGAGGGGGAGGTAAGGAGGAATGGGAAGACGAAGGGGCTTGGGAATGGGGTAGGGCTGGATATGAAAGGGAAGGAGGAGGAAGAGGACGAGAGGTGGATGAAGGTGAGAGGTTAGTTTCCCCTTCTCCTCCCTCAGCCAGAAGACCAATGGCAAGGCGCACGAGAACAGGGGTGTCACACAGTGCAGAATTCATTTCCCTCCGACACGTTAGGGGGCTGTTGCACACTGGCAGCGGTGGGGTCGGCAGCAATGAGTCGACGTTTGAGTTGGTTCAGAAGTCCCCTAGGGAGGTGAGAAAGCAGCTGCACACTGGCAGCAGTGGGGGCGGTAGCAGAGACGAGCCTTGTTTGGATCTCTCTAGCTTTGGTCAACGGAGCAGCAGCAGCGGCAGCAGGAGCAGCAACAAGCAGGTGGCTGTAACACCTACTGGTAGCTCCCGAAGGGGGCATAGGCAAGGCAGACGAAGAGGAGGGAGCGTCTCGATGTTGGATACAGAGGAAAGGGATTCCTCTCGACCATTCCCCACCTCTCGAGCAGCAGCAGCTGCATCACCAGCAGTTGCAGCTCTCTTCTCCTCAGCCCGTCGCCCCCACCCGCCTTTCAGCCCTCGCACTGCCCCCACCTCCCCCTCCTCCCTCTCCCTCCTCGTCTCCCCCCGCTATTCCCGAGGCCGCAGCTTCGGGTTCGGACGATCCTCCAGTACCAGCCAACCAGCGCGTGAGGAGCAGGCACTAGCAGCCAAAAAGGCCCAGTTGGCCACGTTCAGCCGATGCGTGAGCACAGGGCATTGGGAGGGGGAAGCGAGAGGGAAGAACATCGGGAGGAGTGAGAGTGAGAGTGAGAGTGGGGAAGAGGTGCGATGGGACAGGGGCAGGGGTGGGAGCGGGAGTGGGGGCACTGGCGTGGGCGCGGGCAGGGGCAGGGGCTGGCATGGAAGCAGGGAAGGGCGTGGAAGCAAGGAGAAAATATATTCTCATGAAGTGACACCAACCATTGGTGGGTTTAATCAAGCTGTAGGCGGGTCTAGCAGCAGCCATGGTGATGGCACAGCCGATGGTTACACCGATACCACCATTGGTTACCACCACTCACGCGAGCCATCTCTCTTCTCCCCAGTAGCAGAGGACGAGGGCCAGGAGCCCGTCTCCTCCTCCACACTCTCCTCCTCCGCGTCTTCCTCTGCAGCCTCCCTCTTTCTCCGCTCCATGAGCTCTGGTAGGGCAGAGGATCTGCTGCTGCAGCAGTTTCACCGCCATCTCTCCCCTGAGGTTCGCCCTGGCACTGCTGGTGGCGCCTGGGGAAGCAGAAACCACGCAGGTGACGATTCGGGCGGCGGAAATCGGAGTTCCGGGGATTGGGGTAGTGGTAACGGTGGGAGTGGAGTCATAGGGAAGGGAAAGGATGGGGTGGAGGGACGAGTGGGAGGTGGGCGGAGAGGGGAGCTGGGGCGAGGAGGGGTTGGGGCGTTAGGGGGCGCAGAAGCAGCAGCAGGATTGCGAGCGGCGTTTGTGAGTGGGAGAGCGCGCAGCAGCAGCTTCAGTGGCGCTGCTGGTGGGTTTGCGGGCAGAGGGGGGGGCGGATGGGGTGGGGAAGACGACGAGGGAAGCACACCCGGGGGAGGGGCGTCTGGGGGAGGCACACCTGCGGGCGGAACACCCAGGGGAGGCGGATATGGCAGCGGGACGAGCAGCGGTGCGGAAAGCACTGGGTCAGTAATTGAAAGAGGCGGTGGTGGTGGTAACAGTGGGAGAAGGAGAAGCGGGGGTTTGGGGAGCGGGGATGGGGGGGAGGGCAGTGGAGGACCTAGGCTGACAGAGGCTCAGAAGCAGCGGTGGCAGGAGTACCAGCAGCTGCTGCCTCCGCTGACATTGCCGCCTGTGCTGGAACGGAGGCTGAAAATGCAGGAGGCGGTTCTGAAGAGGCAGGAGGCGCTGCTGCTGGAAGAGCTGCAGCAGCAGAAGGCACTGCAGGAGCAGAAGAGAGCTGAGGAGCAGCGGAAGCAGGTGGAGGAGGGAGCGCACCAGCAGCAGCAGCAGCAGCAAACGGAGAGGCAGCAGCTTGCAGGAAAGCAGGAGGTAACTTTGGTTCCGCAACAGGAAGAGTTGGGCAGTGTCCCGTTGGAGAAGCAAGAAGAGCCACAGGCAAAGGGACAGCAGAAGCTGCCAGAGCAGCAGAAACAGCAGCAGCAGCAACAGCTACAACAGCCACCGCTACAGCCCCATCCACCCCAGAAACCAAGGCTGGAGCCGCAGCCCCCCCAGCAGCCCAGGAAGGATCGTGACCGTCCGTTTGTGCGGCAGCGGATCTGCCACTCGGACGAGTTCATCCGGCTGCCAGCTGGCATGACCGCCCGCGGGGGCGGCAGCCTTGTTGGGCTGTCCACGCGGGCGCACTGCCTGGCTGCTGCTGCCACGTCAGCAGAGTCTCCGGCGGGCGGCAGACTGAGCTTAGGAGACGCAGGAGGAGGAGAAGGAGGAGGGGAAGACGATGGGGTAGGAGGAGGGGGGCGCGTGGAAGGAGGAGGAGGGGACAATGGAGGATGGGGCAGAGGAAGGGGAAGAGGGGAAAATGGAGGAGGGCAGCTGCGAGTAGGAGCAGGGGTGGGAAGGGGCAGGGGACAAGGGGGGGGATGGTCTAGAGAGATCCCTATATCTCTGTCCGTATCAGGCATCCCCACACCAGGCCTAGATGCACAGACAGACAAAATGACAGATGCTATGACTCCCACACAGTCTCCCGTCTGCACGCCCCCTCCGTACGCGCGCTCACTTGTATACGGCCGCTCCCCCCGAACGGCATTTGACCGCTACCGCATCCGCAGCCTGGGGGCCATTCCCCCGGGGGGGCTTGTGGCTGGGTCCATCGTGGTAGGGGGGACAGTGGGTGGGGTAGGTGGAGCAGCAGTTGCTGCGTCTACTGCAGCTGGTGGCAGTGTTGATAGTACTGGTGCTGGTGCTGCCTCCGCTGCTTCTGCTGCTGCCCATGCTGATGCCGCTGCTGCTGATGGTGATGGGGATTCTGCTGCTGGTGCTGCTGCAGAGGGAAGCGGTGGGGGAGAGCAGGGAGACGGGGCGAGCAGGCTGCGGGGATCAGTTGGACTCACAGCCCCCTCAGGCCTCACCTGGGACGAGGAGATCTCTCGGAAGCTGGCTCTGCGTGGGGTGCAGGTGCGGCCGACCAGCAGCAGTGTTTCAGCTGCAAGCCCCTCATCTGCTGCTCACCTGCAATCTAAGTTGCAAGGTGGAGGTGATTTTGCTGCCACAGGAGAAGCAGGAGTAGCAGCAACAGCAGAAGCAGCAGCAGCCGCAGCTGCGGGTGCAGGTGCATGTGATGGGGGTGAGCGTGCGAGTGCCCGACTGTCAGTCTCTGATTGGGTGCGCTCCTCTTCCACCTCCTCCTCAACTCCTGCCAATGCATCCGGTGCTGAAGCCGCAGCAGCAGGAGGGGCAGCAGAAGGGGCGGCTGGAGCTCCAGGTGGAATCTCAGGTGGAATCTCAGGTGGAGACTCAGGTGAGAGTACCGGTGCGGGTGCAGGGCGGTTGGAGGGGAAGGAACGAGGCAGCAGCCTTTTCTTTGCTGTTCCTGCTGTCCTAACTTCCAGTTCAGCTACAGATGCAGGGGCAGCAGGGGCAGCAGGGAGAGGTGGGCTCAGAAGCCCCTCTGCGTCCAATGCTCGTGCTGCTTCAACTGCTGAATCTCCATCCCCTAGGCTCCTGCTTGATTCAGCAGCAGGCTCTTCTAAATCCCTCCCCAGGCACATCTCACCACCATCACCACCACCATCGCCACCACCAACTGGCACAACAGCAGTAGCAGCAGCAGCAGCAGCAGCAGCAGCAGGGGTATCACCTGGGAGGTCCCTCCACCACTCCCCAAGATCACCTACCCCAGTTATCACCTACCCCGATTTCACCGAGCTTTCTCTCGACCTATCAGAGACAATCCCCGTCACCCCTTCCCGCTCTGCCAAGGGGTTTTCGCTGCCCGCCTCCCCTGCTGCTGTCGCCTTTGCTGCTGCCGTGGCTGAGGTTGACGCGTCCGGATTCGCAGTACCGGAGCAGATGCTGAGGGCAGAGAAGGGCGGGAATGAGCTGGGGTCGGAGAAGGGCGGAGCAGGAGGGTCGTTCGCGTCTTGGCGCTCGGGGAGCGGTGCTAGCAGCGGGGGGAGCGTGAGCAGGGGCAAGGCAACTAAAAAGGTGAGCAGATGTTGCGGGCAGAGAAGGGAGGGAATGAGCTGGGATCGGAGAAGGGCGGAGCAGGGGGGTCGTTCGCGTCTTGGCGCTCCGGGAGTGGTGCTAGCTAGCAGTGGGGGGAGCGTGAGCAGGGGCAAGGCAACGAAAAAGGTGAGATTATTGTTTGAGACGTCTCAAACTTATGGCTCTTGGGGGTGTGGGTGCTGACAGTGGGAGTGGTGCTGACAGTGGGAGCATGGGTCGGGGCAAGGCACAAAAAAATGTGAGATTATTGTTTGAGACGTCGCAATATTATGGCTCTCGGGGTGCGGTGTGAGTAGTGGGAGCGTCAGCCGGGGTTGGATTGGAAGCTGTTGCACGGGTTTCGTGTATCTTGAGAGGTGCTCGGAGTGGTGATAACACTGGCAGTGTGGGCAGAGGCAAGTCCAATATCAAGGTGAGTGCATGTGTTTGTGTGTGAGCTGCTATCGTGCAAAGAGTGACAACGTGATTGTGTTAGCACTGCTCTTATCTTCTCCACTATAAGCTTCTTCGCTGTGTACACTGTACATGCTTTGCCCCGTGAATTTGTCCTTCAACCTTTTGTATGTGCTTGCTTTCTACTGTATTCCACAACTCAACCTAATGTATCATGTGCCCGCCCTTACGGTATGTCTGGAATGTGTGTGTGCATCTATGCATGTGCCTGTAAACATGTGCCTCTAATGCAGGAGCTTCCGACATGCTGTGTTATCAGTTAATCTCTCACTTCAGTGCCGGCTGCGTGGTCGGTCAGTGTCTCGCTTCAAGGCGTGCATTCAAGCGGTTTCATATGGTAACTGGCGCATAATTGGCCGTGTTATTCATCTGCTGTAGCTTTCCAGAACGTACCTGTTTAGGTGGCATCCATTGGCAGTTTTCTGTTATTGCAGTAGTCTCCTGTTGATGTATATTTTATCGTAGAACTGCCATGTAGTGCATTTTCACCTCTGATGTGCACCCAAAGATAGCTCTGATACTGCAGATGCTATTGTCTCTGACAATTACAGTTGCATACTCTGCTTTAGATGCCCTGGTGTGGGTACATAGGGTTGAAAGGAATATGGTACTATGTGTTATAGTTCAACTAGTGAACTTGTTAGCACTGAGCCAGCTGTGTGCAGGCTATCAAGTTGTTCATAGAAAAACCGCACAGGATATTAGTAGGAAAACACAGCTAAAGCTCTCTTTCATACAAATAGCATGTATACACCCCTCACATACCAGCAGAAAATCCTAGGAGAGACCTCACATTGCATGTCACCTATCAGCTTGTCACGTAGAAGCAATGTGAGGTCTCTCCCTCCAGCAAAAGGAACTACCTAATTTGTGTCTAATTCGGTGTAAGCAGCAGCGGTTCCAGCAGCATTTGACTGTAGAGCATATCCATCCACGAATCGGGCAGCCCAGGAAGACACCAGTGCGTACAGTCACCCTTGTCAGGTGTCTTGAACGCTGCCGAAACGTCCGGCTGGATTTGATTCCACATGCCGAGATGAGCGTCTGGCCTCGTCTCGCTCATCCTCGTTACACGCACAAAGCGGAACAGCGATCCGCGCAGAGCGTTCTTCTGAGACTTGTAATAATCCTCAGCTACAGTCAGGTTATTGTACTCGTCCATCGCCTCGTCCCACTCCATCGGTCTTGTCGCGCCGCAAGAACCCTCCCCAGGGTCAGTTGGGTCAACTGGGCCGTGCTTGGGCGAAAAGCTCAGAAAATAGGGCATTCCGGGGTATTCAATTCGATTGAGGTAATTCGCCCAGGATTTCACGGCGTACCACTGCGCGTTGACGTTGGTGATGTTCGCTGGAGCGCCTTGAATGTAATACTGGTCGGGCTGCTTCGGGCTGCCCGGAAAGTTTTGCGACCACCACACGCCAGTCGAAAACAACACCACGTCGTAATACGAAACGAGGTACTGAATGACCGGATCGATCGTCGTAATGTTAACCTTGTAACCCGGTGTGCCGGTCTGGTTGGCGATGGGCTTTCGCCTCTCGGATTGCGTGAGGTAGGGCGAGAAGTAGAAATGCAGAGAAAAGTCGATCGTCGGGAAATCCACGCCTCTCAAACCTTTGGGGGCACTGTCGTCGTCGAATGGCTGTGGATTGAAATAGGGTGAGAAATGGATGATGGAAAAGGCAGTTGAGACATGCGCCAGAGAGCACTTCAAATAACTGTTTCATGCAAGACGCTTGAAATGTAAATGCATAGTAATGCTCCGCTCACTGTGAGCTTACACACTCGCGCGTCCTTTCATCCTCCTTCGCTCTCACCTTTCCCTTGTTGTCGGCGGAGCTGATGAGGCAGAGCAGGGACTGATACGCGTTGTTCGTTATGGAGTCTCCCACCATAAGCATCCTCTGGAATGATCCACATTCCAGACCAGAAAAAAAAAAAAAAAAAATAGAAAAGCGACTGGATGAGCAATTAACATTGAGGAAAAAAAAGTTTGAGGAAAACTCACAGGCTCACTGCCGCAAATTCTGAAATCCCGTGACACACGCACCTTGCCCTTCATGAGGAAACCCCAATCCTCCGCGGTAACATAACTAAGATCGCACTTCTCCGGCTGCCAGCGCAGCTGATGGTAGAGCTGGTCGGGGCGGTTGTTGGTTTCGCAGTTCAAGCCGCTGCGGATGTACTTGCAGTAATTGGGCTCCCATCCTATGCCCGAGTACCGCTTTGGCTGATTCACCGCCTTCACCCATTTTCCCACCGAGTAGTCGCACTTGGCTGCGCATGGAAACCGACGGGGAGAGCAGAATGGGAATTTACTGTTAGGTACGGGCCCGGCTATTTTCTAACGTCTATTAATAGCTTCATTGGTTCCAGTTGTGTGCATGCAGCTGAAAGAAGGCAATGAGGAGATGCTTTCGGTTTACCAGGGCGAGGATCGGGTGCGGGATCCGCGAAGGCTTGTAGCGCGAACAAGAGAGCGAAGGCAGCAGCTAATAGTGCTATTTTGGCCGTCGCCATGACTGCGATATCAAAGAATGAACGGGGCTTGAGCTCAGAAACAACTAACTTCGACGGCAGCCAGCTATGGCAATTGATGGAAAACTATGAAGGTGCTAATTTGATTCGAGAAGCTCGTCCTGAGAGAAGTGCGAAGGATGTAAGAGGAGTTCCCGATACGAATGATAGAAATCTCAAAATGTGGAACGCTCGATTGTTGGAACTGCAATTGAATGGTTGTGGTGATGATGCACTGGTCTGGTTGAGGTGGTCTCTTCCACTCGAGAATGTTCCTGTTTGCACTTCAACTCCGCCTCGCAGCAAAATTGCAAATGTTGCATTCGCCCTCAATTCTGCCTGCATACAAGGACTGCGAGTAAATCCAAGCCGCTGAACCTACAATAACGAAATTGTCGACCGACAATCCAATAGCGAGCGCGGTTCGCGTGGTGTCGAGTCGTCGGATTGGTTCGCGACCAGAATGGAACTGCTGAACCTCGTGTAACAGGTCGTGAGATACTTCGGTGAAATCGCTGGGCCCTGGAACCCTTGACTGAAGTGCGATTCCGAAATGCTTCGCCCTGGGCGGTTCGGGCTACTTGCCACTAAGCAGCGGCATGCGCCACCAGCGACTGCTGCTCACGAACCGAACCAATCAAACGACGACAATAGCTCTGGCCGGGCCTCGCGCTGTACAAAAACTCGTTACCTTCACATTTCTTCGCTAATGGAGCAACTGTGGAAACAGTTTGTTTGATCATCGTCCAAGTAGCTACACCAGTTCAAGAGTAGCTCATGCTGATTCCAGAATGGACTGTAGCTAATATATGTTGCATCGATAACTACGAAGTGCGGTTCCTGGGCAGTCAAGGGTCACGACCGTTGACTGTCTTCGACTGTTGACCTTCGGGTGACCCTCGACCTTCTGCATGCTCTATATGAGCTGTTGCGATACTGATACATGCGCGTTGGTTCGTTATGAAGTTACGCGCGAGTGGGGAGCCTTCGGGAATGTTATGATAACCTTTCGGTTATTCCAACAATGTTGACGTGCACTTCTATTTATTCATGGCTTGAAATGTTTTAATATCCGCCTTGAGCATACTTCTTCTATTATTGAGTACTTAGATTGCATAATGAAAACGTGATTGGTAACTGTCAAGAATAGCAATAGTCGTGGTTACTATAGCAATGCAATTCAGTTAATAAGGGAATGTACCCCTCAGAGTACATGGCTAGCTAGGATTGCTATTTATTCCTTGTATCACTATCCTTTAATCATCTTGTTATCTTTCAATCTTATCAACAAAGTCATTCAGAGACTTCATAATATTTCCTTAAACTTAACAGCCTTATCCTGTTCACTACGATCCTTCACCTATAACAACATGGTATGAGAGGTAGAGTGGATTATAAGGACTGCTAAGTTTCTCGTTCTTTCTAGAACAACCTCTTTATAAATTACTCGTTTAACCATTACATACTCTGCAGCACTATGACTCCTGAAAAGGGGACTGCAGACTCTCCGGGCCCACCACCAGCAACACCCACTGCACCATCAGCGGTAACCTCCGTCAGCGCCGCTCTCGTTGAGCAGCTGGTCGCTCGCATCAACGCTCTCGAGAGCCATCAAGCCATGAGCATCGATGGCTCGAGCTACGCACGTGGAGTTGCTGGACTCCCTCTCCCCGGAGAAGACCGCCGCGTCAACTCCGAGAGGTCATTCACCTTTGACAACCGTCAAGCTTCAGCTTCTGCACAAGACAGTCAACATCGCACAGAAACAATTGCGACAATGCAAACAAAGTTTGTTCTGACTTCAAAGCTGAAGACATCAGTTCCCTTCGACGGCAAGGACTTTTACACGTGGAGCTTCGAGTTCGAGCTCCTCGCGACAACCGCGCAAATCTTGATGTACTACGACGGAAGCTTACCGTTTCCGACGGAGGGCACCATCCAAGAGAAGAACCAGTACTACCACGAGTCTCTTCTCGCGTACACCACCCTCCTCCGAAACCTCTCTCTTGCCGAACAGCTTGGCATTCGCTCCTATAAATTATAGTGGGCACCCGCATACTCTTCTTGGGAGCACCTGCGCAACTCATACATGGCAACAGATCCCGTTACTATGAGTCGCCTACTCAGCCAACTTACATCGGTCAAAATGCAGCAAGGGGAGAAGGCGGGACCATACATCAATCGGTGCCGCAATCTGCACGACCACATCAAGAAGTGCGGCGGAACCGTCCCCGAAAGATATGTTCGTCTCCATGGTTCTTTCGGGCCTTGGACCTGATTGGCGACAGTGCCAATCGTTGCTCCGCGCTCGAGCAACCGTCTCCGAGTCCGCCCTGTGCGCCACGCTTCTCTCCGAGCAAAAGAAAATCGACCTGTACAACGAGAAGAACACCAAGCGGGAGAAGTTAGTCTTCTACGTTGGAACAACTGAAGGGGAGCAGCACGGCAAGAAAGGAACTTTCTGCAAATACTGCAAGAAGCCTGGGCACACTATCGATCGATGCTACAAGCGAAAGGCCGCTGACGAAAGGCGTAACAACTTCGCCAGTCAACAGCCCTCAGCACCCTCGGCTTCTCCTGCTCCAACCTCGACCGTGTCACCACCTTCGGTAGCAAGCACTTCTCAAACTCCTGCGCGCATCTCCAACAAAGACAAAGGCAAGGGAACGATCATGAGCTGTATGGCACGGCGCCGTAGAGGCATTTGTTACTATGACAACATCGAATACCCGCCTATCGCGTCCATCAACCCCATTGCACCCGATCCAGAAAACGATCCCACCATCCACAGTTGGATCGACCGCCCAACCAACATCCCACCTGACTTCGAGCTGCCCCCACCGACGCCGGAATCTCCTCCCAGTATTTCGGCGAACAGGTACTTCGCTCTCTCGCCATACACCGGCGACTTCGATCGCGTCATTCACCAAAAATCGCCAACATCGCGCGACAGAGCTGCGAGGACATCAATACCTGGTACCTGGACAGCTGCTGCGGACAACACATGGTGGGATCACCAACGTTTATCAGCAACTCAAAACGCATGCGACGACCGTGCGAAATCACAGTTGCGAACAACAGCACACTCAAGGCATACGACATCGGCGAAGTTTACCTTGAAGCCGATGACACCAAGTTCACCATTCACATCAGTGATGTGCTTGTCGCCCCAGATTTTCGTTACAACCTGCTCTCATCGGCTCAACTCATGCGGTGCGGAGTCGACATTTGCAGCAACTGCAAGGACAAGGCCTTTGAGCTTTTCTACAATAACTCTTACATCGGCAAGGCGATTGACGATGACAGAGTCTTCGTACTGCAGTTCTCAGCCCAGGGCACCACTGGAGATTCTGATCGCACCCTGCTGCTCAAAACAACCCCTTCAGTGCCGCCAACATGGTCGCATCCCACCGAAATGGACCTCGAGCGACTTGCCTCCGACGGTCTTCTTCGGCTTCGCACCGTTCTAACTGCCTCGACCTCAAACCCAGCTGAGACCGGACCTGCATCAATGGAAGCAGACAGCGGCACGTCAGCACCTGCAGAACCAATCACCGAAGAAAGCGAAAAGGCTGAAACAGGATCGAGCAGTCCCGGTCCAGCAGTCGGCCCATCGGGGGAAATTCTAACGCCAGAAGAAGCAGTTGCAGAAGGACGGGGCACTATCTCGGCATCCGAAGGCGACGCCACTGCTCCAACGGAGGCTGGCGCTGCCACCGGAGGCGACTGGGGAACCGGAGACTGGGGAACCGGAGGCGGTTGGGGAACCAGAGGCGGCTGGGGAACTTCAACAAGCGAAGGAGGATGGGGGCAAGCTGCCCCTACCTATCCCGAAGCTCCGGGACTCCCTCCTACGGATACCGCGGCTGTTGACCCATACTGGGCGACACGTGGCACTAGCTGGGGCGGACCTCCTCTCCCGGATCAATACGCTCCTGACACACCAGAACCGATGCAAGAAGAATCAGAGGAAGAGGTAACTTATGAATTCTTCGAGGAAGCAGCAGAATTACCAGAACCTACCGAGGAGCCGCCGTCACCAGAACAAGGACCAGAACAGATCGAGGCCATCGGCGCCGAATACAGTTACTTCAGAATTCCCATGAAAGGTCTTTCCGACGCCGACTGGCCCAAGCCGCCACCATCTCAATATCTCCTCGTCACCAGCGAGCAAGTTCACGCCGGCGACACCGTCGACATCATCGGAATTCCTCGCGCGCTTCTGGAACGAGACTCCATTCGGGCCTTCGCAACTGACACTGACGCCGCCACCGACATCGGACCTGAAAAGGAGCAGAACGACGCAGCAGAGAGGAACAAATACTATCAGAAGACAGTCGGGTACCGTGCGGAACCAGAAACATGGCACCAGCGACTCGGACACCCCTCGCATATCACGCTCAAGAATTCTCTCAAGGCCGGAGTCTTCGACGACGACGCGCTGCTTCTCCCTCGAGGCGGCTCCCTCACAGTAGAATCGGCTGACCTGCCCTGCACCGTGTGCCCAACTGCGTCACTCGCCCACAAACCTTTTCCGGACTTACCTCCTGGCTACGAACGCTAAAAGCCGCTGGAGAAAGTTTACAGCGATTTCATGGTCTTAAGTCAAAGCGGGCTCGACGGTGAATCCTACACCCTCACCTTCATCGACGCTTCCACACGCTACGTCTGGGCCATCAACACCGATTGCCGCTCTCTTGCCTTTGAATGCTTCGTGGCGTGGATGAAGCGGGCCGAACGCCAGTCTGGACTGAAGCTGAAAACCTACCAGACTGACGGGGGTTTGGAGTTCTTCTCAACCGAGTTCAACGAACTCTTCAAGCAGAAGGGGATTGAGCATCTGGTGTCCCAACCCTACGCTCACGAGCAGCAAGGCGTAGCAGAACGGACAAACAGGAGCCTTTCCACCAGGATGAGGGTCCTGATGAAGCAGTCAGCCGTCCCAACCAAGTACTGGCCATTCGCGATGAACCACGCTGTCCGTCTGCACAACTTGCTGTCAT